AGTTTTCATCTTCAAATTTTAACAAAAACATATCTAGCCCTTTGTAATATCCTCTTAATTAGGTAATTAGTCTTTTGGGGGACAAAAGAAATAATAATGATTTGTTCGTTTGGTCTTTTGTTTTTTTTTTATTCATTTAAATTATTCGTTTATTTCCACCCCCATGTTTGTTAATTATTTTGTGGTGATAAATTTACTGTATCGAGAATAAAACCATAAAAATGTGCTTTTTGTAAAAGAGAAAAGATGTTATTAAAGGACGTAAATCTCTTTCTTTTTATTTTGTAAGTAAATTTTTAATATTATGGGTCAATATTTTGTTAAATTTACAAAATTTTTAGTTGAATTTTTGAAGAATTTATATTATGAAATTTAAGTATTTAAGCGTAACCAAAAAAATAAATATAAATGACAATAATTAAATTGTAATTAAGATAAAATTTTGGAAAAGTTTTTCTTTCAAACCTATTCCGCAGTAAGTTTTCATGTTATATAAATAAGTTATATAAATAAGGTAAATTAACATGTAATAATTTGCAATTTAAATATCATTAAAGATAAAATTGTATTTATGGTAAATTTATATGTAAAATTTTTAATTATTAAATATTCCATTTTGCCATTAAATTACTAATTTTTGATTGTAAATTATAGCTCACCTCTTATAACTTTTACTTCACATTTTACATTTCTCAAATAATTTAAATTTAATTTTCTCTAAAAATAGGTTCCTAATTCTCGTTACGTGATTCAAACAGCAATGCCAATAAGTTTTTTTCAATTTGTAAAAATGAGAAAGAGATGCAATAGAAAACAGTCATTTTAAGAATTTCCTTCTCATTTAAAATCAAAATAAATAAATCCCTTTCTATCATTTTAATTTAGAAACGGCCGATTTTGCACCACGAGCGGTTGATCAAGAGAAATCTCTAGACGCTGCTCCAAATGTAAGAAAAAGAATGAGCGATGAGGAAGCACTCTCCCAAGGGTATATGGACGAGGACGAGGTAACAAGGATGGACGAGGTGATTGAGGACCTGGAACTGACCCTCCTTAGTCTGAAGGAGCCATTTCAAGAGGGAGATGCTTTGATGGTAAGAGAAGACTCTCCTCTCGGCACCCAGAAGCAATGAAAAACAGGAGCATTAGGGTGAAGTAGTGAACCTCCACCATGCCTGCCGCTGTCCTGTTCAGAATGTTCACGAAACATTATCTGGGCATAGCTATGGTGCAAGAACTCTCGGTATATAGAGGACAAATCAAAAAATTGTCAATTAGAGATATTCAGGTAATGTGGGTTAGGATTTTAATATGATACCATTGTAATTTCTCATGAATAATTTAAGAATTTGTATCTCAAAAAATTTATAAAAGTTATTTTTTTTTACTTATCATTATTTTAGTTCATAAGTATAATGAAAACAAAAAACATGTTTACATAAGCACATTTAACACAATAACACCAATTATGCAAATATTATACAAATATTTTTTCAATACTATATAGACTTTTAAGTTGCAAGCTAATACTATATATATATATACATAATTTAATACCTATGAATGTATATTTACAAGGCACATCTAAGATTACAGAAGAATAAATACAGCAAACATGTAAAACAAACAGCATTTCTACAAACTAAAAGCATTTTCAAATAAATTAAAAGGGAAATTTTAAAATTTTATTATAAGTATATTTTTTTAACATAATTATTTAATTTCATTTTTAATTTAAATGAATTAATCACAAATTAATATAAAATTTTGCATATTATTTATAATAAATTATTAAATTAATTTTGTTAATTTTATTATTCTATTTATTAAATTTTTATTTGAATTCATAATTAAACAACAAATTCTTATTGTTCGTATAATAAAACTATAAAGTGAGAAATTTTTTAATATTGTCATCAATATTCACTTTGATTTTTATTAATCTCTTCTTTTCTCAAAGAGTTTTCTCAAATATTTTACAAAAATACATAATAAATTTAGCACTCACCACTCACTTTACTGTCACTTTTATTTATTATTTATATTTATTTATTTTATTACTATTTATTTTATAAATTTATTTTCTATTTATTTTTTTATTATTTATTTAATTATTTTAATAATTAATTTTGATCTAATATTATTGTAGATTTTAGATATATATATGTAAATAGAGTTTTTAACATTAAAAGAACATTAGATGATGTAAAATATAGTTTAAACTTTACAATTATAACATAACATTAAATATAGAATAATTATTATACATAAATAATTTGATAAAATAATTTAGAGAAAGAGAGCGATAATAGATTCTATAGTTTTATAATATTATTATGGTAGTATACCTAGTTTCACAGTTGTACTTATACAATATCAAAACACAATTCAGCTTATGAATTGTAATTGCTGAATTGTTTAGTATAATATAGTTTAACTAAAATTTTAAAAGCGCGGTATATATTAGAATTATTACCAAAATAGTTTTTAATGTAAAATTAGAAGACATGTTTACAAAATTTTTACATATATTTATAACACACATAATATGTAAATAATTTTTGAATAATATTTTCAAATAAAGAAGACGAGACTGCACATTTACATAATATATGAAAGAAAACTAGAAACAAAAAAAAACATGAATAACATATAAACATAGGCGAATAATTAGATTGTATAATTTTCTTTTCAGATTTTATTTAAACAAAAGTTGAACAAAAGTAGATATTTCAGAAATTTCTAAAGATGTAGTAGTACATATTAGATTTAGAGATTAAACAAGGAGAATATATGCATTTAAGAAGTATAGGTACGATGTATATAGATTCATATGAAAATTTTAATGAAGGCAAATTTCTCTGAATTCAAAAATACAAAAACAGCTCATGAACTTATAAGCTGAATTATATTGCACTATAATATTATACAATTTTGAGATCAGAAATTCTCATATTCAAACGTGAACAATAAGAGAAAATTATAAAAGTGAAATAAAAAGTATAAAGTATGTATGTATGTATACAATATAATATTTTGTTTTTAAAAATTTAATTAAAAAAGAAAACCATATACATGAACATAACAATATTCACAGCACAATATAGCAACAGACAATACACTGTATAACAATTTATTTACATTCTGTTGATTAATAGAATATCATTTCGTATATTGGAATTCAGCAATGCGCTCACGTTAAAATATTCAGTATATCAATTGCAACGGCTGAAATGTGATAAATAGTCGGAGTATCGACTCTTTGTGTTCAAACATATTTGTACATAATTCAGCTTATCAATTCTGGTTGCTGAATTGTTGAGTGACACAATATCAATAAGAGAATTCAGATTCTATAAAATAATCTAAATTTTTTATCTTGAAATTAATTGAAATTTTACTGCTGAATTCAAATTCAATTAGTATACTCTTTGAAAAATTTTTTCAAACATTAACATGTACAATATTTTTGATGAATAATAATGAAATTTTATTATTTCAGCCTGCTAATATGCAAAATTTACTTCAATTTTACATATTCAGCAATATAATTTTATTTGCTGAATTAAATAAGTTTTTTTAATATAATGACGTTTTTTCATTATAATTTCAAATATAATAGAACTAAATGGTGAAAAAAGAAACAAATAAAATTAATATGTATAAAGCAAAGATATTCTATTAAAATATTCTCGTCTTATTCTGTTGCTATAACTTAAGAACTTGTTTTATAGGTTAAATAGGTTACTTTATAGTTGTAATATATATATATATTTTTTTTAAATTTAATATTATAAAAGAGGCCATTAAGTATTATGTTTTCGGCAACATGAAGTTTCATTTTCTTTTTATACCAATATATCGCTTTTAAAATGCACATAAATTAGCAAAATATCTAATTGGCATGCATTACTCGAAGATCATTTATGTATAACGTTGAATAAGTTTTTAGACGCAATTCACATTAAATAATTTTGTATTTAAATTTTCAACAATAATAAAATTTTCAGTATATAAAGCTCTATTAAAAGCGATCCTATATATCTCCTTAAAAAATATTTCGTATTTATGTATGTATATTGATGTATATTGAAAATAATAATTATTATTATAGAAATTAAATTAAAATATAAAAAAATATTTATGTAAAATAGTTGTGTTTGTCATTCAAAACATTCTTATAGAGATTTGTTTTATATAGAATATAGGATTTACCATAGTCATTGTGTAACCAAAGAGGGTTTTTGAGTAGAAAAGACAAATAAGAGTGCTCCTGATATACGAATTCTAATAATATTGTATTACTTCACAATTCAGCAATAACAACTTATAAGCTGAATCGTGTATCACAACAATATTATTGTTATTCTGATATCAGATAATTTTTTGCTCAGATAAGGGTATTATTGAATAAAAAAATAGTGTGTTATTTTGGTATTAAAGGTTGGTGTTTAAAAAATGTTTATAGTTAACATTACTATTATGACAGTAATTTATTATCATTGATCAAATTTCTGTAATCAAACTGTTATCAAACTGTGTAATCGAACTGTTATGGAAACAATTTTACCAAAATTTCGAAATTCAGTAATGTTAACTATAATTTATTTAAGAGAAAATATTAATTAAAAAATGAAGTTAAATTTTTGGAAAATTATTAAAAATAATTAAAAGGTTTTAAAATATTAATGTAAAAAAATTTATGAATAGGAAATTAAAAAAATTTAATTAGTGTTAGTTTTCAAATGTTAATGTCAATTTGAGAGCAGGAAAGAAGTTATACAGAAGGAGAGACTATTTTTTTTTTAATTATAATAGTAGTAGTAACAATTAAAATTAATAATTTATTGAAAATATAAAAAACAAAATTATTAAAATAATAATTAAATAACAAAAAACAAAAAAAACCAAAAACCCTTCTTATTTATTTCTTAATCAGGAATTTTTGTTTTCTTTTCTAAACAACTAATAACAGAAAAAAAAAAATAATTTCAAAGTACATTTTATTTGACATAGATCTCGCCCATACTGGTGTACGTAATCGTCGTCTTTGTAATGTTGTTTTATTTTTATTTTCATTATTAGTAATCCTACTATTATCACCGCTATTGTCTTGTAATTGATTGCCACTTGAATTATTATCTCCATCTATTGATGTATTTTTATTATTTATATCAGTAGTAGTAGTATTATTTGTTGTTGTTGAATTTGTAGAAGTAGTAGTAATATTACTATCTCTTAATCTTGTTGTTGATGATACTATTGTTGATGATGTTGTTGTTAATATTGATGTTGTCATCGCATTATTAATATCATTGCCACTTTCAAAATTACTACCACCACCACCACCACCACCATTATCACTTCTTATTAAGTTACTGTCAACATTATCACTAGAAATTATTTTATTACTACTACAATTACTATCATCTAATATTTTATTATTTATTAAATTAATATTATTACTATCTGTTGTATTTGTTAATGATTCTTGTTGTTGTGTTAATGTTATAGATGTTGTTATCGATGATAATGATTGTATTTCATTAATAATATCATTACTATCATTTATATTATTATAATTATTATTATTACTATTATTATCATTATTGTTATTATTATTAATATTTGATATTATATTTGATAATGGCGGACCAGTTGGTCCACTATGTGTTTGTGGTGCTGTTGATACACCTTTTGTTCTACCTAATATTTTTTTTGTTTTTGTTGTTGACGACGAAGCTATTGTCGATGATGATGATAATGATTGTGATGTATTTAATGTTACTGGTGTTATTGTTTTTGTTGTAGCTGTTTCTATTGTATGTGTTTGTGATATTGTATTTATATTACTACTACTACATATATTTTTTGTAACACTATTACTATTATCACTATTATTTGTATTTGTTATAAAAGGATTGTTACTCGCTAAATTAATATTATAGCTACTATTTTGTGTTGTATTTTTTTGTATATCAGTTTTTTGAATATTACTACCGTAATTATTACTATTTTTAATCGTTGGGGTATTATTTTCTTGACTGGACGAACAAACAAATTGAATATATATAGATAATTTTTTTTTAAATAAAAAATTAAATTTATAATTAAAATAATAAATTTAAAATGAAAAGAAAATATTGGAAGAGTAATTTATTAAATTGATAAATAAAAATTTTCAATTATAATTAAAATTATATTAAATATTAATTTTGAAATTAAAAAATTTTTCGTCGAATTATTTTTAAAATTTTAATTATTAATATAAAAAAAAATAATTAAAAGTGTAATTATAATATGAAATATAAATTAAATATTAATTTTGTAAATATTACAGAAATGTATAGGAAATTTTATAGAAATTTTAATAATTTTTTTAATAATTAATTATTTTATATATGGATTTTATTAGATGTGTGTAAATTGTGTAAATTATGTTAAATAGTTTAAGAAATTATAGTATATAGTTTTATAGTTTATAAAAATATTTAAAAAATTATATAAAAGTTTTAATTATATATAAATGTATATGTATTTTTAGAAGTAAATATAGATGATAGAAGATGATAGAAGTTATATATAATATAATATTGACAGTAAGTTATAGGAATAACGAAATTGTGGTAGATTTTATTGTTTTGTTTGTTTTGGGCAATAGATGTCATATATATATATATATATATATATATTTTTTCATAAATAGCAAATAGTTGTTTTCAGCCAGTATAAGAGAAGATAAATATTGTGTATTTGTTGTTTTTTTTTTTTTTTTAATAGTAGACAGTTGTTGTTGTTGTTGTATTTATTGTTGATTTTTTTTTTTTATTAAAATTTTAATTGGTGGTAAGTATGTAAAGTTTAAAAATTTTCATAAATTTTTTTTTTATTTTCAATTATAATCGTAGTTTAAATTAAAAAATTGAAATTTGTGTATATTTTATTTTAGAAATTTCCAGAAAGACGTTTAATTTTTTTTTTTTTTTTGTATTTTAGGGTTTAGTTTTGTTTATAATAAAGTATAGTAGTATATTTATATGTAAATTTTCAGCATAGAAAATAGAAAAATAAAAATGGTCATAAATTTTAAATATTTTAATATTTTCTTCAAGTTGAAAATAAAATATTATTTATTAAATTAATAAATAAAATGATGAAAAATTTTTTTTTAAATTAATAATTCGTAAATACATATATAATTATGTATGTATTAGAAAAATTTTTAAAAATAAATAAATAAATTATAAAAATTCTCATTAAAATAATCTCAATTATTACATTTTAACAATTTTTTGTTATACAAGTTAGTATAACAGTTATATATTATAATTGTTATATAGATTAGGACAGTTTCATAATAAAGTTTCATAAAATTTCATATAATTTTTTCGTATTTTTTAATTTTAAATTTTAATTGTTCATAAATTTATATTTGAATATTTTTGCTTTATTGCATAATATACCAAAAATTTTTAATTTTTTAAATTATTTTTGTTATATAAAAGTTTATATTGTATGTTTTTTTTTATTATTTCAAAATTCTTTATAAATTCTATTCGTTTATAAGATGAATGAAAATTGTTTTCTTTTAATTTATTTTATAGAAAAATTTCATTTGTACTTTATGTACTTAAAAAATAATTTGAAATTTTTAATCTAATTTATAATTCCATTATAATTTTTTTTTTTTTTTTAAAAAAAATAGAAAAATTTACTTAAAAATCTCTTTCTATAATTTTTAATGAAATTTTTTTTAAAAGCGAATGAGCACGAAAAAAACAAAATGTCAATAAGCATTATAAAAATTAAATTTTTCACTTTTGATTCTCTCTCAAATTTTAATATCTCCTGTATGTATAATAAAAATAATATTAATGTAATGCCACAATCTCTCTCATTCTATCTTTCTTTCTCTTATGGATGGCATTAATATACATTAGAATTTTGAATGAATTTTGTGTAAAAATATGTATTAAGGATGATCCATAAAATAAGAATTATAATTTAATTTTAAATTTTGTTTTCATGCCAAAACATACATACACACAGGTTCTCAGATATGGTAATTTTCAATGAAAATCTATGTAATATATATTATTACGCGTAGATTATGATTTATAAAGAGATTAAAAGTCAATTTTATGAAAAAAATTTACATACAGGCTTCATATTACTCATATATTGAATATTACATGTATTTGATATTATATTGATGTAGTATGAAGCTTGGTGTTAAGATTTTTAAAAAAATTTACAAGCTATCCAGATATATTGTCTTGCAGTATATATTTTATATTTTATTGAATTTAATTTTATTGCCTCAACAACACTAAGCTATGTTGATTAATATTGAATTTTAGTTTAGAAATAATTATTTGGGTTTTGTTTGCATATTGTAAAATACATTAATTTTAATTGAAACGAGAATAAATATAGAAGTTTTATGCGACCTCTTGCTTTTTATATGTTTAGTGTTATTTTATAGATATATGGAAATTTTCTTATAAACTCATACAATATAAAACAGTGTTTCTGAAAATGATTGCCATGCCACCAAATTTATTTGTTCAATTTTTCAATTTATTTGTACCTTTAACAGTTTCTGAGCTATGATGAAATAACTTGTACGGCACCTACTATATGTAGTGGAGAAATTTCAATACCATAGCTTCTATAACTTCTAAGATATGGCCAAATAAATTTTGAAGTTGAATGGCAGGTACCCGAATCAATTCCTCGATCATATACAATTTAAATAGGGTTTCGGCATTTACTGTTATAAATCTTCAATAATCGTTGAGACGGGCGGGCGGACGGACCGACAGAAAGAATTCGACGATGAAATGCATCTACTTGAGTAGACATCTCAGGCCAAATCTCTAAGCGTTACAAATAGAACATACGTTGGTGTTGGTACAAAAATACAGTATTTATAATTATGTAGTAAGTAATATTCTAACATTTTTTGCATTATCTGCAAAATTTTATATAATGTAGCTTATCAGCATAAAATTGAATTAGTTTATTGTGTTTTATATTTCAATATATTTGTGGTATTATTATGTGGTATTATATTAAATAGAATATCATTTTGTTCTATTTAAATTGAAGATAGAAAGAATTTAAGAATGATATAAAAATTTGCATATTTTCGGGATCAAATTATAAAATTTTTTTTTTAGAATATGAGTTTAGAATTATTGCCTTTATACATTAATTTGCGTGTATGTATACAGAATATATTATCATACATGAATATTTTATATTTCTCGTATAGCTGTACACATTGAATATAGCTATACAAGAAAATTTCATAAAATCTATATTATCTTATTAAGATTTTTGAATGCTACTTGTATAAATTCATTAATCTACGACAGTAGATTTTTTGTGATAAAAAACTGCCTGAAACAAGAGCAGTTTACCTCAAACAATTTCCATTCAATTCACCTTTGTTTTGAATTGTTGATTATTTTTGTTATTATTTTGTTAAATATTTTTAAATATTTTTGAATTTTTTTGTTAAAAAATTATAATTTTGAATTATTATTTAAATTTATATTATTATTATTTATTATTATCGATTTTATTAACTGATTTCCATAAAGAACTGTTCTGAATATAAAAAGTCTAGAAAAATATTTTAAACTAATATAATTCACCTGTCAGATACTTCACCAGAATAAATAGAATAAATAGAAAAGCTTATTGCAACTCAAACAATTTTTTTGTTATCTCATGTAAAACTTTTTATTATTGAGATTATATATTAAGAAGTTATTTAAGAAATATTCTCTTATAAATAAGTCTCTTCTCTTATAAATTCCTCTAAACGAGGAAGTCGACGCGTTGGCGAGAAGGGGGTGCAATTAAACCCCTTCTTTGGCCGGAGTCCTTCTCAGAAATCAGACCACATACGATTGGAGAAGATTTAAGGAAGAAAATTAAGAAGCGGCGTTCGGAGCGCTCGATGGACCTTCCAGGGCTTTGACAGGCTAAGGAGCTTCTAGGAAATTATTATCTGAGGCTCGGAACGAATCAGGTGTGAATTCTCTGCAGGATCTTGACGGGGAATTGTAGGCTTAGGGGTCACCTTAGAAGGCTCGACCTAGGAAGTGAAGGTGTTGCAGGCTTAAATGCGTGCCTCTTGCCTGAATGGGAAGTGAAGTACTGAGAAACCATGTGGTCACTTCGGTGGAGCTGCGGTCTGCCGACCCTTCAAAATTGTTCGAATTTATCAGAAGGTTGGGTTTCGAGGGGGTGTTGTAAGGCTTTGTCCCGCAACTTTGGGGGGGTACAATCGATGTATATTTTTTGGTCGCAGTGCATGTTACCCCTTCTTTGCCATCTACAATCTACAACGCTAATATTCTCCAATTTTTTTTCTGAGTAAAGAGAAATTAAGTTAATATTAGTAGGCATCTGCTCTTAAAAGTTCTATAATATGAAAATCAGTCGTAGGCATAAGATGAAAATTTTTTCTTTTATAGTTTTTCTATATTCAGAACGACTTGTTAATCGAATTATTGTAAGAATAAATAATAATTTTAAATAAAACAAAAAATTTAAATTTAAAACTTAATAAACTCATTATTATTTTATTAAATATATTTTTTATTTAATTTATTTATTAATTATTTTTTAATATTAAAGGTGGCATATACAAAAATTTTAAGCTTCAACTACTTGCTTTATCAAGCCAAAAACCAGATTATAGAAAAAATAAATAAAAAAAAAAATAATTAAAACTAAAAAAATAAAAAATATTTTAAATTTTTTTTCTTATTTTTTAAATTAAATTTCTTAATAAAATAATTGTGAAAAATTTTAATTAGCTAATTATTATTTTGGAGTTACTTTTCAAAACAAAATCAAAAGACAAATTAAAAACAAAAATTTGATAAAGCTACAAATATTTGTACAAAAAAGAAAAATTAATTTTTTTTTATATTTTATTGAATAATTTTGTCAGCTAAGTTGAGGTTATATAATATTTTATTTTAATTTAATTAATTTTTTTTTTTTTTGTTATAATATAAAAATCAAGGATTATTCTATAAAACAAAAATATTTGTTAAATACAAATTTGATTTTAGAAAAATTCTTGTGTTTTTTTGAAATTTTTGTTATTTTTTTTTTTTTTAGAGAAACTTACTCGCTATCTTTTCGTTCAACTTGCCCCGATTTTTGATTACTTTCAGAATTATCTTGATTATGGCTACTATTTAAACGTTGCAGACGGGGACTTCACATTTTTTGATTTATTTATTTATTTTTTTTTTGTTTTCGTTTATTTGTTATTTTTTTTTTATATATATAGATTAATTTCGTATTTTTACCGAATAATTTCGGATTATTTTGTGAGTTTTTAAGATTTTGAATAGTTTTTTTTTTAAAAAAAAAGAATAAAACGAATTAATTTAAAAATTTTGTATAGACATAAAATATATATATATATAAATTTTTAAGTTAAAAAATATAGTTTTTAATTTAATTAAGAAAAAAAAAATATATAAGAAAAAATGGAAAATAATAATTAAATCAAATATTTATGGCAATTTTAGATAAAAATTTTTTTCTGATTTGTAAACAAAGTTTCTCAAAGAGAAACTCTCAATTGAAATTGAAATTCTCAATTTTTGATTCCTTAAATACGTAAACATACTCTCTCATAATCAATATTCTCTCATTAATGTTGAGATCAAAGAAATTAATCAAACTTGAACAATATTAATTAAAAAATAATAACATCGGAAACGAATGCAATACGATTCAAATTGGTAACAAATTTGAGAATTTTTAGACGGAAGACAGAAGTAAAATTTATATTTTATAAAGAGTATAAATATAATATTTTTTTTTTTAAATGAAAATTTTGACATACTTTATCTCCTAATAATTATTTAGTTATACACATTTAACTTCTAATACATATTATACTCTTCTTCCTATTTAAATATATTTAAATGAATAATATTCAAAAAATTTAATTAGTTTATAATTTTAAAATAATTAATATATAGATTTAAAAAAATCTATTTAAATTTACAATAAATAAAGTATTATATAATAATATTATTACAGAATTTTTATTAAAAGCATCTATTGATTAGCCTTTGCATATAATTTTAAGTGTATAAGAATGAATAAATGGAAAGTGAGATCTGATAATATTTATTAATATTATAAAACTAGCATAAACTACTTGTAAAAGCTTATTTAATTCACAAAAAAAATTTTGAATTCTATGCATAATATAAAACAAGAAACCATATAAGAAGTCATTATATTGGTTTTCAATGTGATATAAGAAAAAAAAAAATTGGATTAAAATTCGAATGAAATTTTTATTTATTAAGAATTTTTACTTTGATTTTTGTTTTAATATTTTATAATAAAATTACCATAAATCATGAAAGAAATAATTTTTTTTAATTAAAATAATTGTGTTAATTATTCAGTATTCATAAAACTAAAATAGAAAATAAAATAAATTTAATCCTAGTTAATAATTATTTTAATTTGTAGTTTTTTTTTTATTTAAAATAAAAATTTTCTTTTTTTTTTATAATTATTTTATCAGGTTTCTTTTAGATTACTTAATTTTCATTTGAAATTTTTTAAAGTTTTGTTCTTAAATTTTTCGAAATTTGGTTTTGGAGATGTAGAAGGCATTCAATAAAAAATAAGGATTCCAATATGAATTGCATTGGTTTAACGCTATAAAATACTGGGTCCCTTCTTCATATATAGAAATATCATAATGTGATGAAACTATAATAATAAATTCCTAAAATTTTTAGCAATGCAAATTTTTTGAAATATATTTTTTTCATTTTAAAATTGAGAAATTTAAAATTTTATTAATTGTGTTAAAAAATGTACAATAATTACATTTTACAGTTAAAAAAATACTGAGTCCAAAATTGAATTTATTGAATAAAAGGCATTTAATTATATTATATAGAATTTCATATTACTCATGAATAATAAGGTTTTAAATAATTAAAAAAAAATAAATTATTCTTTGAAATTTCTTTAAAATTTAAAAATTAATTCCTATTAAAAATCTTTTCATTTTTAGGGTTTCATACTTATTACTCGTAAAAAAATTTAGGGTTTCATAATTATTAATATTAGTTATAGTACAAAGTAATTTTCTCTAATAATGCTGCGAGGTGATAATATGGTTTCGAATTTCAGAAATAGCCCTTTAATCATGTTATGTTATTGAAATTGTTTCTTAAAAATCTTCTTTCTCAAATAAAATACCATTATATTAGTAATTTAATTTCTTTTCATATTATTTAAAATATTCTTTAATTAGAATGCAAGTAAGTATTTAAAAAAAATAATAATTTAATTGTTTTGTTATTAAAATCATCAAACAAGAGATTTTTCAATATTAAACATAAGTAAAATAAGAGAGCACATATAGAAGTGTAAAGAGATTCTCATTCATTTTTGTTTTTGTATTGTTGTTCTTTTCTCTTCAAAATAATTATATGAGATTAAAATATATGCAAGTTATTGAATTGCATAGAGATTAAAACTTTTAAATAGAAAATTTTATATTATTGAATTTTAATATATTTCAAGTATGTAATGTGTATATTACAATACTTTTAGAAAAAAAAGTAAAAAAAAAATTATAACATAACAAAGAGAAAAAAATTGTACTTTACTCGTATAATAAAAAGAGAAATCGAGTTCGGAGAAAATTTACTTATCAGAGATAATCATTATTAGCTTGTATATATAAGGAAATATTATTGGGTAAAATTTCAAAAATAAATTTGACAATTCAAAATTTTATTATACAGAATTTTTTTTTTTTTAATATCAATGGTTTTCTTTGCTTCAATGTCAAATATTAAAATTCTTTAATTTTTTTTTAAATTTATATTCTAAATAAATTTAAATTAAAAATTTTTGTTCATTCTTGATATAAGAAATTAAATTAATAAATTATAAATTTGATGATCTTCATCTCAAAAACTAGACTCAAAGCACATTGGATTATAAGACCAAAAATAATGAGCAATAAACCGCTTTCAAAACAAGCGAGCGATAGTTACTTTATGTCATATGGTTCCGAAATTATAAGGATTTGTTTATGTGCAGAAAAAATCTGGTAACGGTTTTTTTTCCAATAGGCAATTGTTCGAGTATATCTAACCCTAACCACCCCACCCGATTCAATTTCAAAGAAGACCATTGAATCGATGCAATTCTGTACAAGAAATAGGAGTTCCTTTTTTTGATATAATATATTTGAGTAAATAAAACAAATATGTATTTTTTTCATTTAAATATGTGTTGTATAAGAGATTTTCAAACGATTTAGTGTATAAAATGTTATACAACATTTAAAAAATAAAATATACAAATTAAAACTATCAGAATATCCTTTTTTCCTGCTTTGTATCCTTTTTCCTACAATGTTGATTTTTTACTTATTTTTTTTTATAAGCTTTTCGTATTCCTTTCATTATTTTTTTTTCTTTCATTATTACTTATAATATATTCAATGTTGTTAGTTATATAAATATATATTGAAATAAATATCAAATTGGTATAATATATAAATATATATATATATATATATTGAAAAGAACATTAAAAGAAATAAAAAAATATATTATTGAAACATAAAATACTCACTTTGTTTCATCTATAAAAACTGCTTCTAAAACACGTGCTGCATAATGAAGATTTTTTTGCAACACTTCAGCTGATATTTCGCCACGTTGTAAAAGTCGCAATAGACATCGTAATCTAGTAGATTTTTTTTAAGTAGTGTTTTTCCAAATGTAGAAAAAAAAATAATAAAAAAAAATAAATTAGTTTTTTATTCTGGTTTATTAAATTAAAAATTTTGTCTCTAAAAAGAGTAAAACAAAAAATATTTTATTTATTTGCAACATTTTGGTAGAGAATTCTAAAAAAAATTTCCTTTTATACTCAAAGTAACAAGAAAAAAAAAAATTTTGTTAATTCTTCGAGTTTAATTTTTGTAATTAAGAATATTCGCAAACAAAATATTGATATTCCAGAGAATTAGTAAGTAAATTCAGAACCCGATTTGGTTGCTGTCCCAATATGATAATTCTGATGCATTTAAAAATGGTTCTTTAATCAAGTTGTTAGGATGTCAACTTAATTAAACGATAAGTATTGGGTGAGCGTCAGGGACGTTAAGTCTATTTTTGTGGTGCCATATACCGACTGGAAGGTTGATTAAGATATTTTAATTTAACAAAAGAGGAATTTTTCCATCTTTACGGATGGTTGTAGAACTACAAAATTGGTTCTAGGAATTGGGGTTGGAGATGTCGATTAAGCTGCCCGATAACCGTGGAGTTTTTCAAGCGGAGGTTCTTGCGATGCTATGGTTGCGAAATTGGCTGCAAATAAACCGGTTAAGGACTGAGGTCTAAATATCTTTGGGGATAGTGGGGTAGTTATCGAGGCTCTCAGGTTCTACCCAATTTTGGTGGGATGGAGTAAGGACGGTTTAAGTGCACTTTGTAATTTGTGCAAAGGGTGACTGTTTCTGGGTTCCTAGTCACAGCGGGAAATGGAGTTCTGACGCTGAAGGGATTAATTAACATAATAGGTAAGGAAACTAAAAGTAGGGGCGAGGTTTTGACAGGGAGCTCATGATATTCGCCAAGGAGATTGACTTGTTCCGGTAAATGGTTTTTAAGGTTTGTATTACATGGAACGTTGTCAAATGTTAATATGGTGGTGGCCGATCGACCTTTTTTTTGCCAAGTTCACATAATTCGTGTGTATGATCGGGCCGGATCATACAAGTATATTAAGAATATACTTAAATTGAAGTATATTAAAAAATTTTTATCCCCACTTAATTTAATTCAATTCTAATTCATCAATTAATGCTTAATTATGGAAAGGAATTGATTAAATACCCTATTATTACCAATTTAAAGGAACTTTCAAAGAAAACTTTCACAAAAAAATAACTTAGAGGAATTAAAATATCTGAACCTTAATTTCACATTTGCAGTCTGAAAAACTTTTATTTACGAGTACATAGACACGTTGTATTAAAATCGTGTTAACTTGAACAACTCAAATTTAAAAAGAAAGTTATATGTTTAACTTATAATAAAAGTTCAATTGAAATCTGAAGCGAAAATGGATTCTGCTTAAACTATCAAAGCAATTTTCTTTAAGGCTATGTCATAAAAGATAGAAGGAAATAGCATTGAATTTTGTGTTAGCAATAATTTTTACAAATCTTAAAATTTGTTGGGGAGTAATACGGAAAAGACCTTGATTTTGGATAACTTTAATAATTCTCTAGAAAGCAGATCCCATTCAATTTGAAAAGAATGCTTTTTAAAATAGCGGTAAACTTGAATCAACATTATTTCTATCGATTTTATTGCACGGTAGCAATTATTCACAGAACATATTACAAAAAGTTTATATATAAAAAAAAATTACACGTATCCAATGCTTATACAATATAGTTTTCAAGTTACTCGTAAACTATAAATTTTCCAGTTGTTGAACTGTAAGAAATCTGAAAATTTTTTTAAAAGTTTTTCTTTTATTTTACTTTAACTTATGACTTTAGTGAAAACAAGGAAAAAAAATTAAAACTTTTTATACCGCATATTTTATTCCTAGAAAGATATAAAAATTTTACCAACATACAAATATAAGAGTATATGACATGTATACGTAAATGTATGTATATAATGTCTGAAAAATAATTAACTGCAATCACTTCTCTAACGGTCTTGTAAATATTTCAATGGTACGTGTGTTCAATTTCTAGAAACGTTCGGAACATGTAGTGAACTTTTTATGTTTCAATTCGAAGTCATTTGCAAAAGATCACCACAATTTTATTTCTGAATATTTAAAAACGTTATTAATAAATCTATTTTCCAAAAAAAAATTGAAACAAATGGTTTCAATTGAAGTCAAATAATTGAAACGATAATGACAATTTTTTAAAAATTGACCTACGGTTACCGGAACTGTAATGGAACGTGTAAATACAATACAATTTTATCATTTCTTACATCTTTTACTCTCTTTTCAAACCTCCATTTTCATTTTTACGAACCGAAACGGTAACACTTATATTTGATCGCAAAGATAAAGAAAACAATTCCGAAAAGAAGTGTAAAATCTCTAGAGGAAAGTTATGACGAAAAATGAATAAAGACAGCAATAGCAAAAGGAAAAAGACAAAATTCATTATCATTTAAATTTTATAATGGAAGACAGTTTTTACTCACAACATTTCCTTTTCAAAGTTTTTATATCAGAAATTCCCTTTTTGACTTACCGACCCCCTTTAAACTTTTATTGTTAATAAAATCATTTTTGTTTTTTTAGGAAAAATTTCTCGGTTCAGAAAATTTTTTAAACAATCAACTAGCGTAATAAAAAAAAAATAAAAAACCGTCATCAAATTTTAAAACAATAAAGTAAACAATAAGTTAAAAAAATAAAATGCAGGCACAATGATTTGGTTGTCAAACTTTGGTTGTCTTTCAATGGCATGTATTTTAAAAATACTCGCATGCATGAATATGAGATTCAAAGAAGTCAAGTTTAAGGGGCTTGAAAAATGTCAATGATTATTAAATCATGTCACTCTGAAATGTAACAAGTAGTAAAATTGAGCATCGTTTTACCAAAATTTAAAAATCAACTTATAGTAAACGACCTTTTTATACTGAGAGGAGCTCAAAATCGCCGGTAATGGAGGAGAATGGAAAGGCGCCTGAAGTGATCAAAGCTATATTTGTGTCGTTTGCGTACATGTTTTGCGACGAATTCCTTGTTTTCTAAATTTCAACCTGATAGCTAGCGACAGGCGTCCCAAGTCAGGGTAGATCAATATATGTCGATGACTGTGTGGTTAAGGAGGAGCTTAGTCGTTAATATGCGAGCTTACTTTAAATAAGTCTCCCCAAGGTATTCGTAGATTTGTATAACGGGGGCAACAGGCACCGCGACCACGTATAAGGATCTATTGTGCGCCCCCATCCGAGTGCGGGGCATGCCCTACAACACACGCTCGTGACCCACCCTCCTGAACTCAAGCAACTTGTGAGGACCAGAAGACCGTAATTTCACCACCGTCAGAGCAAAGCCTTCCAGCACCTCCCCCCTCCTACGAGCAAGAGGTCATAATCTCCCAGGAGTTCCTTGGCTTGCCGCAGCCCCGGAAGACTTCTCCAGCGCTCCGACCGCCTTCTTTCTGATTTCACCCTATTCTATATATACATACTATTCCCAACGAATAGTATGTGGTCCGATTCAGCAGTAAAGCTCCGGCACAAGAAGACTTTCCTTGCAAACGCATCAGCGGCCTCATTTCCTTCCACGCCCACATGGCCCGGCACCCAACACAGTGTTACCCGGTTGCATCTGCCTAACTCATTGAGCTTCTTAAGACAGCCCCATACTGCCGCGGAGGATACTGAAAACGAGTTCAGCGCTCCGATCGCAGCCCGGCTATCCGACATAATCATTATATCTTGTTCCGATACCCCTTTCCAGGCTGAACCGCACGCACATTTCAATGGCGTGCAACTCAGCCCGAAACACACTCGGAAAAGTTCCCATAGGTTCGGAGAATTTGGTCCTTGGCCCAAATACCCCCGCACTCGTCCCAATACTGGTCTTTGACCCATCTGCGTACCATCTAGTAACGTGTGTTCCAACTGGGCGGCCCGAAAAGTCACGATCCCAGTCCCTTCTATTACTCAGCAACGAGGCAAAATTTTTCTCGTAGCTATACCTCCTTACCATGTCGTCCCGAGGTATTGATAGGAGCGGAACCTCCCCGACAGGACGACCCCGATGTCTCACACCAATTATTCAGGCTTCATTTCTTCGCCGGCATCTCCACAACAAGGTGCAAGGGAGTTAATCCCAAAATCACCTCCATTGCCGCCGCTGGACAAGTTCTCATAGCCCCAATCGTTCCAGGTTCCTTCTAGCCGTATTAAGAGCCACCCTTCTTGCCCATACCACTGCTCCACAAGTTAGGAGCTGCACGACCATCATGGTATACATCCACCACATGACAGACGGGGAGCAGCCCCAAGACCTGCCCGAGATGGCTCTGCAAACCATAAGTGCCCGGGTTGCCCATGTACACACAGCTTCCTCGTGACATCGCCAAAAAAGCTTGGAATCAAATACCAGTCCTAAGTATTTGACCTCTGATTTTCTCTCTACAGCCGCTCCGCAAACGTATATTGTGCGCCGATACTCCAGCTTCCTTCTCCTAGTGAAAGGCACCAGGGGCGTCTTCTTAGGGTTAAGCCTGAGGCCCACAGTATCCCCTTTGGACTATATCACAAAGAGTTCTCTCAAACCTACCTCTAACAATGATGACTATATCATCGGCAAAAGCCTGGACACCAATTCCCTGACGAAGCAGTTCATCAAGGAGTTCATCCACAACCAAACTCCACATTAGCGGAGACAGAACCCCACGCTGTGGGCATCCCCTGGCCACGCGCATTCTTAGGGTACTCTGCCCCACAGCGGTTTCTGCAACTCTCGTAGCCAACATATTGGACATCCATAGAGAGGTGTCATCATCCACGTCCCTACGCCTCAGGGCGCCCGCAATCGCCTCATGAGAAATGTTGTCGAAGGCCCCCTTGATCTCCAGGAACAGTTCGATTCAAAAGCCTCCAGCATAATTCTCCCGAGCTCCTCCACAGCCCTTTTCAACACCAGGGGAAGGCTGGCTACAGTTTTAACCGACAGTTTTGCCTCCAAGTCCCTTCTGTATTCCCCCCAGTTTGTCCGCCTCGGATTTCTGAAGGAAGATTTCTCCTCCATCAACCCATCCAAACAAAACCGGATGATTCTGTGATCTGACATAGAAACCTCCTCCGATACCTTCCAGTCGTGTACCAGAAACCCCACATTTGGACTGCCAAATTTGATATCCATTAGCTCCTCTCTTACCCTAGTTACAAAAATTGGGGCATTCCCTACATTAAATATTTCTAGGTTTTCTTTAACTACGAATTCTAATAAGGATTCACCTTTAGTAATGCGGGCCCTGACAGGTGTGAGGTCCCTTGTCATGTACTCTGAAAATAGAATAAAGTTAATATCTTTTCTAATTAGAATGCAGGTCCTGGATCTGTTCTGCTCATAATTCCATACTACCTGCGCATCCCTAATTGACAGCCCTTTGATGTGCCCCCTGTATATCATGGCTATGCTCAGATGTTTCTTGGTGAACATCCTTGCCAGAACAGCCGAAGCTGCTCTGGCGTGGTAGACATTCACCTGGGCGACCCTGGTGCCATGGTCCCTCATTTGTTGAGTTGACTGGCAGGGTGATCTTCCCCTATTATCGGGACGTCATTTTCTGGGAAGGACTCCCTAAGACGTAGAAGGGTCCTCCACCGTCTCCTCCGTCGTTAATGAAGGGGGACGCCCCTCATCCGGGGTTTCATATCCCTCGGAAAGACACCCCTCGTCCGACGATTCCTTTTTGGATCATATGACTCCCGTGGCGATTCTACCCGGCCCGCCGAGGACTCCACTAACCCCGTTCTATCGGGCTGCCCCATTCTGAGCCCATGTACAATGATTTTCCCGAACCGGTACCGCAGAATATGACCGCCCTGCCTGATGGCTTCCGCGGAAGAGTTTTCGATCCCTATTCGGAGAACCTTTTCGCCACCGTCCTCTCGCTGCCCCGTCGGCTTCCAGACCCGGGTGTGTATTCCCCCGTTTTGGGCCTGGAAGATGGCCAGCGTTTTTCCCAGATTTGGGCCTCGCTTCTGGGGACGAAGACAGTGATTACACAAGGCTTAGGGATGTCATCTCCCTTCCTTGCCATTAATTCTGGTCCGCTACATGTACCCAGAACTGGCGCTCGCTTGATCAGCCATTCAGCTCTCTCGTCATCTGGAAAATTAACGAGTAACATCCCGGGCCTGAAGTGTATTCCTTCAAATTGGATGATGTTATCACAGCCCTTGGCTACCTCGTCGATTATCGCCTCCTCCAGCTGGGTGAGCTCCTGCTGGGTCGGCATTATGGAGGAGTATTCCCTCGACAGAACTGCCACCTTCACAATTTTAGCGGCCGTGGCATAGCTAGTGCCCGGCTCCGTTTTCGAGGTGGAGGGTATGGGGTGAATTCCCATATTCCTTCTTTCAGCCGTCTTCCTTCTTTTGGCCTCCTCTTCTTGGGGTGTCAAGGACTCACGTCCACGCTTGCCCCCTGGAACCACTGGAGGTACGTCTCCAATAGGCCTCTTCATTTCTTCCGCCAGTTTCCTAGCCTGATCAGGTGAGTATCACTGCTCCAGGAAGCGCAGGTACCATCTGACACCTGCACCGCCGAGTCTTCGTCTCCTCGGATCATCCAAGCCTTCAGACTGGCCCAGTGATGGCAGATAGGAGAGCTTCCTCCTTCTGCCCCCACTGTGCATCCCGGAAGGTTTGCCCCCCACATCGATAGCCTGTGAGGATGCGGAGGGCTTGATCCGACTTTCCTCCATGCCATCTCTCCCCTTTTCGTTATAGCAAGGAGCATCACGGAGGTTAGTCTTTATTTCCATTGCAACCTTCTCCTATTTTGTTATGACCGGTTGCTCCCGGACCATGACAGTGTTTTCCCGTCGTATCGATTTTTTGTTTTTTGTGTTCCATTCATGTTTTGGTCCCACGAGTAGCTAGGAAAGGGTAGTCCGCCACGCCAGAGCCCTGCATGACGTAGTAAGGTCAAAAATACTCTCTGAGGTGACACGGTATCAGAGAGACTCCGTTCCCGGTAGCCAGTATACCCCCCGGCTACCAAGTAGTCCACTAGGCACGGGCTGTCTAACACCATTGGATTGGGAGGGGGGACTTATTGAAGGTAAGCTTACGCCGTTACTTCATGCCCAGGAGATTCTCTTAGTTTTCAGGTCTCACTTTCGACCTTTTCGGCATGGTTACACCTGCCAGACACCACAGAGTCGTAGTATCCGCCGACATCGCTCTCAAGATCATTGACCCTACTTCAGCCACTTCAACTCGACAAGGTGGAATCCCATCGAAGGAGCTTCCCAAATTATGCTCAGAGGTCAAATGTTGTGGCTAACCATCCCCAAGACAGGGAAAGCTCTAAAAGCAACACTTCAGATACAGGACCCTCAAAGAAGAGGTCAGTTTAGGGCAATGTTGAGGAAAAAGTACCCGGAAAACGAGTATATCTACGCCCTCTTCCGCCCCCCACCCCTTCCACTTATACAATTTTTTGCTTAAAATTGACCAATTTGCCACCTTATGCGAAACACCCTGTATATGGATGTAATTTTATACTTTATGGTGTTATTTTGGCTACAGTTAATTGACCATGTTTGTTGGTATTTATTAAAAAGCACCAGTCTAATATTTTTAATTTTAAAATGAAAACTAAAGCAATTTTAAATTTCACTTACTTTATACTGATTTTGTCATCTTAAAAATATTTTTATCTTTTCTACATTTAGGAAAAATTAAGTTTTTCTAAGAAAAATTAATGATTATACAAAAATTATGAGGAAATGTGACTTAATTAAAATCTTCGTGGAATTCAAAACAATAAAATTTAATAATTTCTTTTTAAAATAATAACTTTCTGTAAAATGCATGAAAAATTTATCATTTAAGAAGGAAACGAAGAGGACGGATAGTATTATATAAGTTTTTAAAGCAATAATGGATTATGTGAAATAAAGTGAAAAACATTTTAAAATTCCGAAGAATTCTATTATTTTTATACACTTCTTCTGATGATGGAGAACAAAATTCCCATGAAATATGGAAAATAAAATGTTATGAATAACGAATTGGCAAGAGAATGAACAGGAGTATTCAAGCTTTATGTATGCAGGTGCACTGTTATAACAAAGTGACAGAGGAGTTATTAATATTAACAATGAAAATTGTATCCTTTGAAGCGATACATGTTATCCTCTTCAAAACAAAACTTAGTTTATAAGGAACTTAAATTTAAGTTATACAGGTTTTGAATGTCAGTCAATTTTAGATTTTAAATTATTATTTCTCCATATACGTTCTTGTATAATATTTTTTACCTGCAAGGATATTCAGACCAGTAATTCCAAAATAATATTGGTTATTTTAGCAACCATCAAATTTTTGAAATTTCGTCAAATATCCAATTCAAACTTCGTACCCGGCAATGGTTCGTTACCAAACTAGTCGTTACCAACTTTTCTAGTCGGGTTTCTTGGTTTTTTTCCGTTCGTCAGTACAATTGAGGTAGCAATGGGGCTTACTTCTTGGTATACTTCTATCAAAAAGATTCGGTAGCGTGGTACTTTATCGGGAAATAAAGTAATACTTAGGTGCCAATCTCAAGCGATATAGTTTTTTGCAGATAAACACTCTCCCCTTGTCGAGCTACAAATGAAGACATGGTTCATTTATAGTTTTTATAGTTAGACTAAACTTCTCCCGTTTTTCAAATCATGTCACCTAAATATCGCATGAATTGCATGAAAGTTTTAGAGAAGCATCAACACACTGAGTAAAACTTGATACACGGAATGAAGTCATTTACAAGGTTTAAATTGTTTTTTTAATATTTAAAAATATAATGAATTTATATTACAAATTTACCTAATTGCGGCTTTATCACATGCATCTGGTGTATCGACGGCAGGTAATTGATCTGTTGTCAAATCAATTGTATCGATATCAATTTCACCGTAACTCGCAGATGTTGTTATCGAACCAGCGCTACCGGACGTTGTTGCTACTACAGTAGCTGAACCCGTTGGTGTTGTAGCTTTATTTGATCTATTCATTGCAGTTAATATAGATGTTGTCCCTGTTGATACTGATGGTAATTCTTTTATATTTGAGTATTGTTCACTATATAAATTATCTTTTTGTTGTTTTTGTAAAAAAGATTCTTGTTGATCTTGTGGTAATTGTTGTTGTGGTTGTTGTTCGATTGTCCTATTATTAATAAATGATGTTGTTGCTATATTTGATGTTGTTGATGATTGTATAAAAGGATTTGTATCACTTGTTCTATTTATAATATTGTTGCTAGTACCACTACTACTACTAATATTTGATGCTGTTGTTGCCGCTGATGTTATTATCCCTCCTGTTGATGATGGTGGTATCGATGTACCAGAAATGAATTCTTGTTGTTCTAATGCACCAGATGGTGATTGAGCAACTGATTGATATGATAGATTACCTTTACGACTATTCGAACGACGTACTATTGTTAAACCACCTTGTTCTGTAATAAAAATAAAAAAAAAATGTAATAAAAATTGCGGATGTATATGAAATGAAAATATTAAAATTAAATACACTTACTGTAATAAGCATAGTTGAAGAAGAGAGAGAAAGTAAGTGTAAAATAAGCAAAACTATAAATTATAATATAAAAATGGAGGCAATTAAAAGCAATTAAAGTGAAATGAATATTATTTCTTTTTTTTTTGTATTTTGGTTCCATTGTGCTGTCCTTTTTTTGTTTTTGTGCAAAGTATTAACGAGAATTCGCCTTTAGAGTGCAATAAAATATTTTTTTAGCTGGATAAAAGAGAATTTATTCATTTATCCTTTTAGATTTTTTTCCCACAAAGTGAAACACATAGTCTCATTTGATTTTTTGTTTATTTTTATAATCCTAATCAAATCCTTTTATACGTCATATTATTACGGGTAAGGATTTTTATTTTTTGAAATGAGCATGAAATTTGTTTTAAAAAATTTGTACCCAAGTTTATACCTAGGATTGTGTTTGCAATGACTCGGTTTATTTTTATGTAGATGAATTTTTGCAAAGAAAAACATGCTCAACTTCTCAAATAAGGGTTTTTTTTATAAATCAAAATATTTACTGGTACTTGTTAGTCAAATTAACTCAACATGTTTAGAAAGAATCCATTTATTCCTCCGCAAATTTCTATTGTATTATTCAGAACACTCCCAAAAAGGCAACAGAACGCGAAAAATCTTTAGGAATACTATGATCTGTAAAATAAAATCACAGCTAGAGGAGTACTCAATGACTTTTGAAAAGGTTTTGTTGACAGTTCCCTTGCCTCTCTGGAGAACATACTACGTTCATCGGTTTCTGTACGCTTTCTCTACAGTGGGAATCCGCAGATTCCCACAGGGATTTCTCCTGATGAGAATTTACAGTTTCCTGTCAAGAAACTCAAGTAAGCATTCTCACATGATTAATTTTCCACAAACATTTTATTTTAAATACTTAAACATTAATTTTAAAATCAAACATTAATTGCGGAAAACCTATGTATATATATGTGTAGTATTATATCTGTTGAAATAATTAAAAAAAATATATATATATATACAATAATGTGCATTTTGCATACATATATGTTGTACATAATCATTAAATAACTTTTAATTTTTAATATTCTTTAATAAGTGCATTTAAATATTTAATTTGAAATTTTAATCCCTCTATATATTTTGCTGAGTATTAAAAAACCAAAATATTAAAAATTTATTTTTTATTTTCAAAGAACACAAAATTCATTATTAATTAAAATATTTTTTAATAATATGAATTTGGAATATAAGCAGATACAAATCACTTGATTTCATATAGCAAACTATGAGGATATTAAAATCTGAAATATCATTAATATGATAAAAGTGTTTTTTAATAATAAGATTTTCATATGAGCACAATTTTAGTAGTAGAATTGAAAATTTGAAATGCATCGAGAGTTGCAATGCTGATATTTAGAGAAATATATAAAATATTTCTGTATTGATTCGGGTCAGAAAATTGTACAGCGTTACTGATATTTGAGCAGAAACTAATAGTTATAATTTTATTTGAAATTGACTTAATAAAACAGTGCTGTTCCGTATGGTTATTTGAATACTAAACGACATTGTTATTTTTAGTGATTATTTTACCAAATGTTAGAATCAATTTGTTAGAAATTAACCACTGGGTGTGACGCTTTATTTGATCAAAACATTTCGTTGACAATTTTTGAATTGAATGTTTATTGCATATACTAATTAATCTAATATTTCAATACTGAATCATTTTGGATCAGATTTTATATGAGATAGCTTAAGATTTTATTTTATCATTAAGGTTTTTATTTTACAATATCCTAAAGTTTTGGTATGAGTTTATATTTTTCATTTTGTAAAATTTTTCATTAACTTTATAAAAATTCTGTGAATTAAATATAAAGAACGAAAATAAAAAACTTCAAAGAAATTCCAAAATTTTTTGACCTTTTTTGATACAAAACTGAAATATCCTTTTTAGTATTTATTTAATTTTTATAACAACATTTCGTAAAATTTTATGAAAGAAAAAACATGAGTAAAAGTCCTCTTTTTTAACCTGTCCGGGGTAGCTAAAAAATTTGGAAGAGAAAATTTTGACTAAAGATCTAAGTAAAATGAATCTATGATCAAGAACTCAATGGGAATTTTTCAAACTGAATACTACTCCCTTTTAAGTACATTTGGTAATCGGAATACTTTTTAAGTGAGACACAAACAAATAATTTTGCTAATTTAAGCATTGAAATTATCTCGAAATGTTGATACGCTTACTTCTCACTAATAGTCTCAGGAAACACATTATTTCTAGTGAAACTAATTTTGCAGGTACTTTAAATTTAATACAATAATCGAAAATTCACTTATAGAGTCCAAATTTTTTTTGTTCAACTCTTATAAATTGAAAACAAAAAATGTAATTGGTTTCTATTGGGTTAAAAATATAAAAAAACGAGAAAAAAAGTAGAGTTGACCTTGTCAACTCTGTGATACCCGTACGAATTTGTTATCCTATGTGCAAATAACTAATGTGCCATAACTAACTATGGGGCAGACTATGACTTTAAGTTACCGTATTACCATATTAATTTATGCAAAATTTCAATACTATGTGTTTTTCAAAATACTGTGTGTGTCAAACTACTATTGAAGTTGTATGGCAGCTACCAAAAAGAGCCGAGAAATTTTTGCGAATTTTATCAAGCACATCGGCCCTACTAATATATTCACTTGTGTGAAATCTCAATTTCACAGCTTTTATAGTTTCTGAGATATAGCCAAATATATTTTGATCACGTCCAATTTAAATAGGGTTCTGGTACTTACTACAATAAATCATTTGTGAAAATTTGGTGAACTTAGCTCAATTAGTTTTTGAGTTATCGTTCGTACGGACGGACGGACGGACGGACGGACGGACGGACAGACAAAGCTAAATCAACTCAGAATTTGACGCTGATCAAAAACATACACTTGAGTTTATATCTAACACCGTTATTTCTTAGCGTTACAAACGGTAAGGCAAATTTAGTATACCCTTCGAACATACGTTCGTACGGGTATAAAAAATTCATTTGGTACCAGATAGAAATTTTAAATGAATTTTTTTTAAAAGCATTTGTGAGGCTGTTGTTTTTTATTTAAATTTGATAATGCTTCTAAAAAGAAAATCAAAATAACATTTTGAATAAAATTTCTTCTTTCCTTCATTGAATACTTACTTTGCTTTTTCTTTAAAAAAAAAATGTTTGTTTTCAGTAATTAAAATATATTCATGAATTTTAATTAAATTTATTGCTTTAAATAACAAAACGAAAGATGTTAAATTATTTAAAGTTGCAGTACACAACAATTGAGACTTTTTAAAGCGACTCTTTGCTAAGCAATTGTCGGACAATACTGATATGATAATAAATTTTGGAAGTTTGAAGCTTAAAAAGTGTTGGAAGTGATTTACAACATAAATTTACTTAACCTCACCACAATCAGCAGAGTAAGTGACGAAGTTTGCTGTTTGTGCCTGGAATAGGACGAAACGATACAGCACTTATTGTGTGAATGCGAGGCAGTTACTCGCCTGCGACTGGGATGATCTCGCCCCGGGTTGAATTTTGCAGCTTTATGTGGCTGCTATACTGCGATTTGTCAGGACCCTGGGTATAGGGCTGATAAACGGGGACGGAAATCACAAAAGATCCAAAGGGTCGACGTGAGATCGGAATTCATAAAGACATAGGAATGACTCATGAGAGTGGAGAAGGAATTCGTATAGTATATAGGTCAGTAATGAATTAAAGCCAGCATTTACACTTAAAATTACAGCGTGCATTCAAGCGTTTACGTATTATTTAAAATTAAGAAATTAAAAAATACCATAGACACATGATTATGAAGATTCTTCTACAATTCTTTTTTCTATTTTAATTGAATATTGAGATAGATCATAGCTTATGCTTTCTGTACCCTCTTGAATTTTAATTAATCTATCCCGGATATCAATAATTTTCCAAGATAGTATTGCTCTTGACGATTTATTTTAATTAAAATTTTTAATTTTATATCATTTCACTAGAATATCAGCCATGAAGAGCACTGCTATCAATTTATTTTAGCACTAACAAATTACATTGTAAATAAAATTACATAACTAACCACTTTAACAATTTTACTTTTATAAAAAAAAAAAAAACACAAAAAAATCAAATATAAAATGCCATTATAAAAATTAAAAATAATCTATCACTATAATAGAATTTTAATAGAAAATAAAAGAGATTTCAGTGTTAATGTATTGTTTTTGCTTTGCTTATCGAGATTACCGAGAATCTCAATTTTTTATTGTATAAAAGAAGAGAAAAATCAAAGTATAAAATCATTTCATGTGTAAAGGTAATAAAATCAAATTGAATACAAAAAAAGGACTTTAAATCAAATCAAAAACAAAAATGTAAGAAAATAAATATTTTATAATTCACAAAATATATAGAAGTGTAAGATATTCACAAAATACATTCAAGTTCCATAACATATTTGAACTGTAGTATCGGATATTCTTTGTATATATGGAATGATTTTAATGGTTTAACTTTGTATATTGATTTACATTATAAATGCATTATGGAGTTCAAGAAGTAAAATTTGACTTTGTTGAATAAAGAATTTAATTTAATTTTGTAGTATTGTATAAAGATATTAAAGTTTCACTTGTCTGCTATGTGAACAACGAATATATATTATATATAACTTTATTTTAAATAATATACTTATGGAGTTTTAAGTGTGTTCAGAAATACGATTACTATAAAGGACATAAAAATAATTTAAGTAATAGTTGAATTTAACATAATAATTATTTCTTCAGAAATATTTTATTCGCAATTTATATGCGTCTTGCAGTTAAGCGATAAGTCTTCGAATAAGTTGAATTATGACAGAAGTCTGGTTGGGATGATCATCAGGACGGCGACTGGCGACAAATTACATGATAATAAACATTAATTGAGCACTTAATATGAATTAATTTCTTAATGGCAAAATGGTGCCGCACATAGTAACCTTAAGGGTGTGCATGCGATGAAAAACTGTCGTCAGAATTTGGGACAATCACTTTGAACAATATTAATGTGAGTCAATATTTTAATGGAAAACTGGCGCCCCACATAGAGACCTTAATGGTGAGTGACATGAAAACTGGTGCCTAACTTTGGGACAATGAGTCTGAATAATTGATGCCTCACATTGAGACTTTTATGGTACACGCCAAGAAAACTTGTACCCGAATTTTGGGATATTGAGTCTGAATAATTGATATGAATCAATTTCTCAATGAAAAAATTGTACATCATGTTGAAACCTTTAGGATGCACATGTTTTATTAATATAAATATGGCGCCGTATCTTTGGAGACATTTAAGTTAAAAACTGTCGCCTGAAGTTGAGACAATTAGTGTTCATCTCAAGTGACAACTTAAAGAATAAATGTAGTCCTATGGTTGAGTTCGTCATCGGTTTAGCGTAATACAACAATTACATTTAATATATGTTAATAGTTCTACTCATTGCTACAGAGTTGGATTCAGCTATAATTTCAAAAATAATTTATACATTGTAAACGTTAATGTAAAATTTTCTGAAATTAAACATTTAACAACTTCCATTACGTACACGGTTTTTGTTAACAAGAAAAATTATATCACCAAATGTGTCTAATCAAGCATTGGTTTTTTGTAATTTTTGTGGTTACTTTGATATATAATCAACTTATGGATGGTTGATTTAATCACATTTTGGTATATAGTCCTTTTTTTTTTGTTTGCTTTTTCTCCCACACATTTATTTTATATCTACGTAGAGTTTAAAAGATTTACAACATATCCTTTTTAATGTATTTCGTAATCTATAATTTTCTGTTCTGTTAATTTTTAGAATTTTGATTAGATAATTTTTGTTTTTGATCTTTTTAAGAGAATAATTATTTTTGATAAAGGACATCAAAGTTGGTTTTTTAAGAATATAGTTGTAGATGTTTGTGTGTGTAAATTATATACAGATGTGTTGTAACAGCCTAATTTTATGATTAAATTGTATTAAATCATTTTGTATTTGGATTAGTAGTAGTGCTAGTTTTTGCGGTAGTGATCAAATACGCAATATAACACAAAAAAAAAAAAAACTTTCTGTACACGTTAACATTAAACCTTAATGTAAAATTTTTTTTTCTCTTTTCACAATCTTTGAAGTGATTACATTTTACGTTCACTTTTATAAGTTTTAATTATCTCAAAGTAATTAGATAATTTTCGGATTAGATTACATTTGAATTATAAAATGTTAAAGTATTTTTGTGAAAAATTCTGTTTTTACAATATTTAAGTTTCAATAAATTTAATCAAGTTCTCATTAGATAAATATCTCTTTTACCTTTTGCGAATTATAGATGTACGTCCACGCGTTTCTAAATTTAAATTATAATTTTTGAAATGTGATGATGTAGGTACGCGAATTAAATTTAAACTAAAAGTAAAAAAGAATTTTTTAATCAGATTTTTTTATTTTGTGTTTTTTAAAAAGGGAAGAAATTTTTAATTTTTTATTACTCGTAGTTTGTGATTTTACCGACTCAACTCTAATTAAAATTTAAAGATAATCAAAATTAGATAAAAAAAAAAAATTTTTATTTATATTTTTAATGATGAATTTTAGATAAAAACCCAGAATTTGGAATCAAATAAATTATTTTAAATTTGAAGTTGAATGAAAGATTAGATTTATTTATCTTGTTCTGTGAGGTTTTGAGTCAAAGTAATTTTAATAACTAGCTAAAGCTCTATTGATTAACTTTTTAAAATAAAAATTTCAAATCGGTATTAGGAACAGTTTGGAAGCAAATATTGTTTAATGAATTGTTAAGAATTTTAGATAATGGGGTTAAACTCAAAATGATATTAATACAAAATATTTAAATTGATACGAATAAAAATTCAAAAAAATAATTGTAAATAAATTACTTTTTGTTCGGACAATCACGAATATTTGATCCGAGAAAATTAAAAGATTCTCACATTATTCCACATTATTTCCAAATTATGTTTATTATATAAGCTCTTCCAATTTTTTGAATATAGAAAAAATATTTGGTATTAATTACAACTTGATTTTTCTTATGGATTTTTTTAAATAATTATAGAATTTAAATCAAAACAATTATAAAGAATTAGCAGAATTAATTATCAATGGCATACAATATAACAGTTGAAAATTCACGCAAAATTTTTACTTTTACAATATTCTCAGTATTTTAGTACAATTGTTTTTTTATTGTTGTATTTCATATTTAATAACTTTAACAGTATAATTATGTCTCAACATTTATAGTATTTAAACAATTTATTATTACAAAAAAAAAAAAAAGACAACAAAAAACAAAATTTAAAGAATTTGAAAAATTAAATTGACATTTATATATACGCACATACAATAAAGCAATATAACACATTTATATTATAAAAGTTTTGCTTAATATAATTTTCACAAAATTATACACGCAAGCACATTAATAATAGTATTTTTTATGTTTATATTTATTATATAATAATATTACTATTATTATAAAAACATTGAAAAAGAAACATCGAGATATTTTGGAAAATTTGCACATTTTTAAAATTAGTTAAGAAATTTTCATTTGACGATACAAATTTTTTGTTTTCTTTTATATTTCATTGATTGATTGATTTTTACTTACTTGAAACTTGACCATTTATTGGACTAGGATTTTGTGTATTACTACTAGTTGGACTATTTGATTTAGATCTAGTGGTATCGTAGCTTCGTCGATCGAATACCGAAGAATCGTCTCTGGTTTTATTTTCTGGTGTACTAGCAACTGTAATAAACCATATAAAAAAGAAAAAAAGAAAGAATAATATAAATGAATAAAAAATAATAATATAAAAATAAATTAAATATAATAATTATACGAAAAATAAATTAAATAAATTGGAAAAATAAATTCCTGTTATATGATTATCGTATTTGTTCACGTATTAAAACAATATTTAGTGATTTTTAGAGAGAGAGAGAGAAAATAGGGGAGAGAAGAGAAATTATTTAAAGTATATACACAATAAATATTTATATGGAAAAATTCATTAAATTCCTACCATGAAATTGCATATTATTTTGTGTTATTATAATTTATTTAAATTAATTAATAATCATTTTGTATTGTTTAAAATTCTAATAATTTTTTAAAATTTTAATCTTTAAAATATTATACGCTCTATAATGCATATGCAATTTAATAAAAAATTTTTCCAATATATTTTCAATGTTGTTTATTCCTATGATCGCCTGAAGTTATGCAAAATTTTATGAATTTTTTTCAATGTAATTTTTTTACGATACATAAAATTTGACGGCGAAAACAAAAGAAATATTTTGTGTTTATGAATAGGCACCTGCATTATTATTATTAATATAACAGTGAATTATGAATATAAAAAGTAAATTAAATAAATATTTTCAGGGTAATCCAGAATATTTTAAAAATGTTTGTAAATAATTTATGTAGCTACCTATACAAATATTAAATTATTTTTTAAATAATAAAATATTTTCATTTATGAATATTTAATTAAATTTTTAGTTTTATTTTTAAAAAAAAATTAAAGTGTTATTTGATGCGTTGTTATTTGATTATAAAATTATAAATTTAACGAAAAATCGTGTTTTAATATTTTTGAGGATAAATTTTTTAAAGTAATCAATTTCATAATTAAAAAAAAAAAATTAAATAATTTATAAGCAAAAAATTTGGGTTTAAGGGGGGAGGCGGGTTAAATTTGCTGGGTTCATTATAAATTTTCTGTCAAGAATTGAATGTAATTTAACAGAAATTCAAATATAGACTCCTAACCATTGTAAAAACAATTGAATTTAATTTATTTTCCAAAAAGTTTTTAAAATCGTAGAAAATTGTGGAAATTTTTTAATTTCGCAAACGATATACTAGTAAAATACATAGTGTATATATCAGTTACTAATGAAAACAATATGGTATATAATTAATATTAACCACATCAAATTAAAAAAAATAAATATTAATTATATCATACAAATTATTTAATTTTATTGTAAACTAATTCATTTAAGTGACCACATCTAAAAATATTTTGTTTTCTAGAAATTTAATATCATTTTCCTAATATAATCTTTCCAATATTTTTTCTCTCTGTAGTTTCAGTATTCACTTGATTACGAACAATTAAACATTTGTATTTCGATGTGAATCACAGTAATTGTTTTTGATTTTTTTTTTTTGTTTATTTTTCTTAAATCAAATATGGTTTGTTTCTTTCACCTTGTTAAATACTTTATTAAATAATTTATATTCAACGAGAGTATTTATAATTTGTATGTGAAATGATCATAAAAAAAAAAAACAAAAAAAAAATCCCAGGTACGTATTCTACAAACAAAAAATGTGAGATCAACTATCAACAAGGCGTAGATGTCGCTGTCGTCGCTTTGAAATGAGAAAAAATTTATTTTATAGGCGGGTATTATAAGATATTAAAACCATTTCAAATAAATTGTATATTCAGGGGGAAATGCGAAGAGTAAGTGAAATATAACAGTTCTTGCTAAACCAAAGTATCGAGAATTCGATTACGGAGGTTTGGGATTATTAATTAAATTTCGATATTCTTGCTGTTAAATGGAATCGAAAATTTACTACTGGTTAAACAGAGACTAACTGTTTGTTATTAATAATTCAATTTAATTCAATTAACAAAATGTAATCAGTAATGAGTTAGTTATTCATATGTCAATTAATCTTAGTGGCTTCCCATATATTCAGAGTAGCAGAGAAGTAAAAAAAATCAAAATTGAACATTGTATACTATTTAGCGATTAAATCAGTGCTGAAATTTGGACAAAATTTTTCTTTTAAATTTTCGAAAATATTATGTCGGCCCTGTTATTCAAACACTTAAGCCATCTCTGTTCATAATGAAAGTTTATTTGTAATTGTTTCAATTCTTTTTAAGAAAAACTATTTACTAACAATACTATAGTGACGAAAATAAAAATTTGCTTTGATTTATGTGTTTTCTTCATAATCACTTAACACATTTTTTAATTATATAAAAAAAAGGCAAAAAAAAACAAAATACTGCGCGCTGTTCAATGAAACATAACAAATTTAAGTTTCAATTTCACACCAAAAAAATAAAATAAAAAGGAACATTTTAAAAAGCTTTACTATTTAGTATAAAAAATAATGCCTGACTCAAAGAATAAATTAATTTATAAGACTTGATAACCTTACCTTATAACTTTGATTATCATTTTGTTAAAAGAAATAAAGCGGAACACAGAATAAATTTTTTTATTTTTAGGAAATTTTCGCAGAACTCAATTAAACTTTATAAAGTAAAGAACACAAGCTTATTAAAATTGAATTTAAAATTTGATCAAATTTTAAAGAGAAAGAAATTTTGAAATTAAAAATTTTGAAAATGAAATTTTTAACAATTATTTTAGCGCTTATTTTAATAATCGCTTCTTTTTTATCAACATCAGAGGCTAATTTTTGCCCATGTAAACAGAATGTAAGAGAACCAGTTTGTGGAACAAATGGTCAAACATATAAAACAAAATGTGAATTTGAATGTACACAACGTGAATTGGCTAAAATTGGAAAGAAAATTGAAATTGCAAAGAGTGGTGCATGTTGAGTCTAAAAAAAAAGTGTTTAATTTTAAAAGTATTTTGTATTGAAAAATAAAATGTTTATACTCGTAATATGAGTATAATCGAATAAAATTTTAATTTATGGATTATTAATAAGTGTATGTGTTTTATTCGTAAAAGATAATATGCAAATGAAGCTGAAATATTTACATTGTGGGAAGGCACCTTGTATTGTGTCCTGTGGCTCTCAATTATTTAAATGAAATTAGAAAATAATTATTAAATAAATATTTAAGAGAAAATTAAATTTTTTTCTATCAATTTGTGATGGGTGTATATGAAAATTTTAATGCCGTAGGTCAGCATTTAATGCAAATTTGAATAAATCTATAGGAAAAATTATAAATTAAATCCTTATGTTGAATTCAAGATTTTTAATGAATTGGTATTTTATAAAATATATTTTTCTTGTGTTTACACCGATTTAACTTATTGTAATGAAATTATATTAATGCCATACCTCACACCATCTTACATTTAAACTTTAAGTGACAGTGATGAGAAAAAAGAGTATTATAATTGTAATCCTATATAGTTTAAAATTTTCCTTCAAATCATTTTGAAAACTAATTGTAATAAGGTAGTAATAGATGATGTACAATACTAACCGCACACGAATAACGTACAATACAAACCGTATATTACTGTCGGGTAATATTTCGGGAATTCCCCTAGTCTAGCTACTAGAATATGTAAAAGTAATAAGAAACACTCGTGGTAAGTTGGAAAAGAATTTACTAATTTCTGTTGTCCAAATATTTGATATAGCATGCAATAACCTTCCACTACCTTTTTCTGATTCAATAAATATTCAGAAGGCATGCCATGCTGTCCGCTACACAACATGAAACTTGTGATTAATAACAGCTGTCTCGCTCATAATTATGCTATTCTATTGAAATGTAATGTTCTACTGTCTAGCTATATCAAGTCTTGTATATTATAGTGTTAATTGAATTTTAATGAAAATTAAATGTAAATTTTCTCATTTTACAATGAAAACTTTTATCTTTCTATCTAATTTCTATTTAAAAATTATCTTTAAAAAAAACATTATATTTGGTTATTTGTATACAGGTTCATTGTTAGTTTTAATGGAATTAAACAACAATAGATAAAAAAAATAATAATAAAAAGAAAGCGAAATAATTGATTTTTGTTTCTCATTTTATTTTTATCGTATAAAGCTTTCAATTCTATTTTTCATAAAAATCAATTTAAAAATCTACCTGTTAATGAACTTCAGATTCAATCTGTTGTCAAAAATTGTCGCAAAAATATTTAAATTTCATATTACAGAGCTTTAAACACTTTATTTATGGTCAAAATTAACAGTAAAATTGTAGGATTAAATTTGGTTTTTGCTATACAATATTGTTTTCTAGTATTTTAATAATGATGAAGTTAGTTATGATTCATTATTTATTTATGATTTTTATAATGATGATATCATTATTTAATTGTGATGCTATTTATTGTCCATGTCCAGCAAAAAATGAACCAGTTTGTGCTACAAATGGACAAACTTATAAAAATAAATGTGAATTTGAATGTGCACAACGTTCATTAAATATGATAAATAAAAAAATTTTAATTAAAATGGATGGACCATGTTGAAAAAGAAGTGAAAATGTGGAAAGAAAAAAAAGGGGGGGGGCGGAGAAATTGAAGAGCGTAAATTGCAATTTAGTTGTGTTTCAAAGACAAACCAATGAGTAAGTAGAAAATATCACAGTTATAAAAATAATTATAACTTAAATTTTTTTATATAATTAATTAAAGATTTTGATGCTGCAATTAGAATACTTGGAATTTAATTGATGGCTGTATTTTTTTTTTTTTAATATTGTGAATTGTACTTTTTTTTTACTATTGTGAATTTTTAATTATTGTGATTTTACTATGGGTTTTAAATGTATAATGTATTTTAACTGAAATTATTTATGAATTTTTATACACTTTATTTAATTATTATAAAGAATAAATATTGTAAACTGAAAATTGAAAAACAAATAAATATTTTCGTGCTTTACTTCCTAACCGGAAAACTAACAAAAACTCTTCTTCTTTGGATATTGTAAGTATAAAATTAATATTTTGCAAGAGTCCGATTGAAAAATATATGTATAACATTTTTTGTTCTAAACTCTCCTTTAAAATTATTTGAGCTTCGGTAAATTTGATTTCGGCAAAGTGTATCTATCATAACTTGAATATCAAATTATCAAAAAGTCTAGTTTAGTTAAAAGTTTAAAATCAGAAAGACAATATTTAAAAACTAATCTGAAGCTTAAACTGAACAGAATTTGAAATTTTTTTCATATTTATATCGTATAGATAATATCGTAAAAATCGATATACGATAAACATATATCGTATAAATTGCAAATTATTTTTGAATTATTTGGCGATGTTTACGTCTCACTTAGAAATTGTTTTAGATTAACTAGAGGGTTAACAACCCTAAGTGTAAAATATTAATTCATATTGCCAGTATGAATTTAAAAAAAAAATCGAAATCGAAATTTTAACGACATACACCCATAATTACAAATTTACAATTAAATTAATCAAAAATTTACTTAAAATCTAAAAATAATTTCTAAAATTTTATTGCGTTGTACAATAAATACTTGGACGGCATCATTTTGGATTCGCAGTTAGCACATCATGTATTTTTACTTCGATGTAGTTCTACTCTGATCACGTTATTGTACTCAATTATGTACATAATTATAAAAGTGAAAATATTTACGACATTGTGATAAGAAATTTAATAAGAGCAAATTTCAAAATTAAAATGAGAATTTTATTTTCATTTTTTACTCTTTGCACATATTTATTATTCTTTTATTTATTTTATCAGTAATTTATTCATATTTATTACGACATAAATAATATTATTATTAAATATAATTTTTAAATAAGAGAAAGCTTTTGTCCATCCATTAATTCAAAAAAAAAACAAAAATAAATAAATAAATTGCCTCCCATTTTCAGTATGAAATTTAACTTATATTTTATCGGAAGTAAATCTAAACCCCTTGGTTTCTCTCTCATTTTGAGTTTTTTATATGTTTTTGTACTCATAATGTCATTTAAACGTAATTACAAATATACAGTATTTTTACTATTATGTTTAATTACAATTATTACATATATAAATTATGTTGAATGTATTTATTGTCCATGCTCACGTAAAAGAGAACCGGTATGTGCTGATAATGGGCAAACATATTTAAATAAATGTGAATTTGAGTGTACACAACGTATGTTAAATCAAATTGGCAGAAAATTATTAATTAGAAAAATGGGGTCATGTTAAAAAATTTGAGTAAAAAAAAATATACGCTCTAATTGTTGAATACGCTCTAATTGTAAGCTGTGGCAGATTTACATTGTTCGGAATTAATGGTGATCAAATAAGAATTTTGGTATTGAAAGAATATGATTTATTTGAATATAATTTTGGTAATTATTATTGTAAATAAAAAATAAAATTGAATAAATAAAAACTAAAAATAAAATAATTATTAAAAAAATAAGTTCAAATTTATTTGGTTAAAAGTGTGCCTAATGAAATTATTTTGTTTGTTTTTCCCCTCACTATTATAATATAAAGTTTTTATTAGGACAGTACAATGTACTACAGGTCAGACATACTTTCGAAATTCGCTACGAATTTTACTTTAGCCTCCATTCCGTAAATAATCCATTTGATATTGTTTAATCTAAGGATTACAAGCGATATATTGAGTGTTTCTGTTCTTTGTACTGAATTATTATTTAAATTTTTAGATTTTAAGTTAATAATTTCTTTTTCCATAATATCTAGGTAACCTAAATTAAAAATTTTTCGCAAATAATAAGGCTTTTCTTTATAATATGAGAATTTGTTTTTTTAAAAATTGAAATTGCTTTTTTTTTTGCGTTTCCACATAAGCTCTATGTAATTTTTTTTTCTAATTCTTATCTTGGGAAAAAAAACAAAATTAATTAAAAAACGTCTTGACTTCTGATCTTTCCCAATATTTATTTTAATTTTAAGTAAATAACGTAAACAATATTATTATTAAACACTTGTATTTAAATTAAGTGGAAGTTCACATTAAATAATAATAATGTGTTGGTGGAAACTGTAGAAAAAAAAACGAATTCAACAAGTGCAATAAATTAGCAATGTAAGCAACAAATTTTAATTTTCACTTAAAATTAATTTGCATTTAAATTTTTTTAATGGAAATTTTTTTTTTCAACACAAAATATAATGTTTAGAATTTTTAATAATTTTTAATTTTAAGTTACGATAAATAGTGAATCCACCACAAATTAACTTAAATGGAACGAACGTAGCAATCCATAACTCAGCAAAATACCTAGGAATGACCTTAGATTTCAAGCTAAGGTGGAAAGAACATATAAAGAAGAAGCAGATAGAATTAGGAAATCAATATAGAGAGAATCATTGGCTCCTATGTTGTAAGTCCAATTTGGCAATTAATAATAAAATATTGATATATAACCAAATCATTAAATCAATATGGCTATATGGTATTCAACTGTGGGGTTGTGCCAAGAAGACTCACATTAACAAAATTTAAATCGTTCAGAATAAAGTTCTACGGGGCATGGTAAATGCGCCATGATATGTGCGTAATAGTGACATACACCAGGAGTTTGAAATTGGTTATAGATGAAATTGAGAGTTATGCTACAAGGCAGGTTTCGTCTAGAACACCATGTAAACATAGAAGCAGCTCGGCCGCTAGACAATTACTTTATGGCAGAAAGACTTAAACAAACAAGACCTTTTGATTTAACAGAAAATACCATTTTCCTTACAGAAGGTATTAATTCCTATACGGAAAGACCAAGTTAGCGCAGAGGTAATAGTTGGTCTGTAGGACCAGTTTTATCCGTTCAGAGTTTACTTTTTTATTAAGTAGAAAAAAGAGAAAAAAAAAACGAAACAAGTACGGGACAGTTGCTAGTAATTTGAATATTGAGACCAGTTTTTGGAAAATCATAAAAATTTTTCAAAATTGCCTCAAGTTATAATTCCTTGGAAGTCAATAATGTCCTTGAACGGTGAAGCTAGTAAAGTTGTTAACAAAACTTCTTTGATTTACTTGAAAATTGTCAAATGTCGGCCATAGCTTAAAATCTTACAACATTTTTACTCTCAAAACACAATCTTTAACATATTTGGATCCGGCTATTTATAATTTTGTTACCGTCATTTTGTATACTAAAGACGATAACGGGCTAGCACCATGGGAATTTTTCATATCATTGTCTGTTAATCCTCAACTTAAAATTTATTTTTTTTAGCTTTTCCATTCATTTCTAACTAATATACTGTGAATTTATTGTCGACTTTCGCATTTTAAGTAAAAACGAGTGAATTAATTTGAACAATTCTTATCATAAATTTATTCTATATACACAAATTATTTTTTACATAATATTATGCATTACTACACTTTAAATACTTTGATTTACAATTAACATTTTCCATCATGAGCTAAAAATACTGGTATTCCTTTTTTCACATCACATTCCAAAGCGTATCGATTACTATATGTTAAACCATTACTTCCACAAACTGGTCTTTCAACCAATGGTATTATACATGGTATTCCAATTCTTGGTTGATCATTCTCAAGAATTTTGGTGTCTTTATCATCGCTGATAACAATTGTAATTGTTGCAAATATTAATAATAAAGTTGGAAAAATTTTCATTTTTTTTTTTTTGTAAATAGAATTTTGTAAAATTATATTATTTCGTAAACTGTGTGCATCAACACCTTAGATTGCAATGAATTTTTAATTATTTTTCGAAAACTATTTAAATAAGTTGCATATTTTTTTGTGCTTTTTTTTTAATTTTATGATAAATTATGGGAAAAATAATAAATCATAAATAATTTGAAATTTTAGAAAAATAATTTTTGATTTCAATGTAATAATAGTAAAGTGTAATTTGCACATGCACTTGTGTTTATGAACTTTGGCAATCGTTTATGAGATTGAAATTATTTAAAATATTGAAAAGACAAAATCCCAAATCCACCTGACACACAATTCTCCAACGTATGTCACTTAAGAATGAATAATCATGTATGTTGTAAGAAGGCTATAGTACTATACTAGTTTTCTTAGACGAGATCGGATGCGATATCATGAACAAACTCTTTCTCCCATTTACTTTGCACTTTGAAATTTTTGAAATTAAGATTTATGATTTTCCTTATAGCATACAACTAAAATTTGCTAACTAAAATAAATTTGTTTTTTTTTTTTTTCAATTTTAAAACCAAACTTGTTCAAATAAATGCCAGATATGTAAACAAAATAATAATATGCATAATATGCTTTTATTCTCAACTCATTGAGCGGAAGACGAGAATTAAAATTGTTATTTTATTTGTTGAAAAATTCAATAAATAACATCAAGTAGCCATACAGAAAATTGAAATGTGTGGGAGAATTTGTTTTTAAAATTATTTTTATTTGAAACAATACGAAAAATGGCAAGTTCATTTCTAAATTTAAGTGTTGTTTTAAGCAGTTCCATTATCAAACAGTAGAAATGTTAAAAAAATAGGCTTAAAATTCTTTACAATAATATAAAAATAATTTGCGTTAATATATTACAAGTAAAAGAAAAAATTGCATAAATTTGGGAGAACATTTATTCCCTACAATATTGTGTTTTATAATTTACTTGATATTTGCTTATGTTGATCTATGTAGCGCTTTACAAAACAAAATGTGATAGAAGAAATTAAGTTGCTATTATTGCGATTAAATTTTTTTATAGTTTATTACAATTCAATTTTGTTATATTTATAACAAATAGAATGTAGAACAGTAAAATGTTACTGACAGCATAAACTTGAATATCAATCACTTTCAATTTTCTGTTTTAATGTTCAATACAAAATTTTCTGATGTTTAAAGTGTTAATTACATACAGTGCGTCAGCATTTGGTTATAATACAGGTATATTTGCATGGAACATGCACTATAATCGCCTTATATTATTTGTGACTACGTATATGAGTTTCGATGTGAAAGCTTATTGTTATATTGTTAATAAAATTAACAAATTCTTGATAGAAAATCGTAACATAAAATGTTATTAATTTCTAGAACTGAAAGCTATTTATTAATTATTCTGGTAAGAACATATTTTCTATTTAAATTCTAAAATAAATTCTTTTAAAAATCGTCATAAATATTAATTTTAACATAATTCTTAATAAAATATAGAATATTTTTTGCAATAGAAATTCTATTGCATTAAAAGTAGTACAATGTATGTTGATTAAAACATGACCTATTAAATAATGCAACTAACAAACTTTCCAACAATTATAAAAGTTCACTGGAAATAGAAAATCATTTTATTAAATTTCTTGCATTACTACATATGCTTATCAAATTTATTATCGATAGCATAATTATTGATTAATAATAAAACTTTCTTTTCCGGGATTTTCAATAATTAAAATAGCATATAAAAACTGTGATCTTATTAATGTTACATTACTGTTGTTAATTGGTCTTCTTTTGGAACAGATCAGTTCTAGAGAGAAAACAAAATTTTAATCATAAAAAAAAAATTTGTTTTTTACTTTTAAATCAAAAAACTTAAAAATAAAAATGAAATTTTTAATAATAACAACATTAATAATTTTAATTGGATTGTCATTAACACAAACAATATTTGGTCAATTACCACCATGTCCATCAAGAAATATTTGGGCACCAATATGTGCTTCAGATGGTAGAACATATGAAAATGATGATAAATTAAAATGTCAACAAGCTATAGATCCAACAGTTAGATTTATTAAGGAAGGACCATGCTAAAGTTGAATGCAGTACTTATATTTGTGATCGTGTTATATGCACAATATGTTTGTGAGTATGGTTTATAAGTTGAGATATAAGGTGATAAATACCAATGCCAAAAGTGACCAAATCAAAATAAAGTTCAAATTTTAAAATTTTAATAAAATTATGTGTAATTTTAAGTAATTGTTATAATTTTAAATTAAATGCTTATTTGTTAAATTAACAGTTTTTAATTAAACAGTCTTTCAGTGTGAACTTGAAAAATAAGATTTAAAATGTTTCCTGAGTAACTGTAATTCAGCCTGAAGTGATTTTTCTAAATATGTATAAGAATTTAGTGTTCATAGTTTCCTTCACCTATTTTCCAAAGTGTTAAAAGTGTTCACTGAAATATTTTGTACAATATTATTAATGAAATTCTGTACATTATGATTTCAAACAACACCCTAGTTTAAGGCTTGCTGCAATATTCAACTTATTTCTCGAATTGATTTAATATCAAGGGTGTTTAAAAATCTTTATCGAAAATTATTAACTTGAATTCATTTCAATTATCATAAAATTCGAATTTTGAATGAAATATTAGTGTTTTAAAAAATATTTTTTTAATGTTGGGGTTACAACATTTTGAACTAATTATGATTTGTTATCAGGATTAAGTCTACAAGATCATCTGATTTAAATAAAATTATTAAATTATTGTATTTGAATAAGAGATTATCGCTGATTTCAGTGAATTATTGTATAAAACTATAAAAATATTTCTGTAAATTTAAAAAATATAAAAAAAAATTATCGATCATTTGAAATTATTTGTTAAAAATAAATATTTTTTTACCATGTTACACACAAAGTTTAATAATATTAAAAACGATATCAAGTCAAGCCAAAGAAGGTGATTATTAACTGACCTAAAAAGAGAATAAAAATAAGAAAAAAATTTTATTAGAATTTTTTAATTTCAGTTTTTTTAATAAAAATCTAGTTTTAAATTAATTTTAATTGTACGAGTAATAGTTCTTAGAATATTTCTGTTAAATTTCGAATGGTCTAATATTATGTGAATTGATTATTCCTGAAAAATATGCTATTTCAATTGAAACAGAAGAAGGTAAAACCCAAAAAATTCTTTGTGAAATATTAAAGTTGGATTTTTCTATGGTTTTTTCCTTGGAATATGGGAACGTTTCACAGAAGCTTTTAAAATACGCACAAAATTTTAAGTTGGCAGAGAATTTTACTCCAATACTTCTTTTTATTAAAATCGAGATAGCATAGAAAATATTTATTTTTATTTTTTTAATAATTATTAAATATTTACTACGTAATTAATTCAATAAGGAACATTCAATGAGAGTAAAATGGAAATTGTTTACATTTTAAATTGTGAAATTTTACTAAATCTAACATAAGCACAAGAGTGAAGAGTTTTATTAATATTATTGTTTATGCTATGAGGGGCCGAAGGATTTTGGCCTAACTCTTGTCGTACCCATATGATCTTTTATGATTCTCATCACCACCTGCAATTGTCTAGGATATTATCCAGTACTGCAACACCATCAAAGCGTGCCAGACTCAACCACAGACCAACTACTTCTGCCAGACTCGACCACAGACCATCTATCGTCTCGCTTCACACAAAAAATGCTGAACCATTTTGTCTCCTCCTAGGCAAACTCGACAGATCTTGTTCTCTTCTTTGACCATACAGTTCAAGTGAACTATGGAGAGAGAGAGAGTGAGTTCACCTACCAAGTCAAATACTTATTGAAATATTAGCATGTTCTTATAATTATAAAGGTATATACAAGTTCAGAAAAGGTCATTCACTGATAATAATTTTAATCTGATACTCAAATAGTATAATTATTACGATTTATTTTTATTAATTAAAACACTAATAGTAATTCATTCAATAAATAAACATAAGGTTCTCTAGTCATTATTGAAATTAAAAATTTGTTTTTTAATTTTGAAAATAATGATTAGTTTTAATTTTCACCTCGTAGAGAAAAGTTTTCATAATAAATTTTTAATACAGATTTAAATTAAAAAAAATTCCATTGAATAATAATAATGAGATTAAATTTTCTGATGTGCACCCTAATATTAACGGAAATTGTTGTAATTTCTTCAAATACAGAAAATATTTTTGAAAATTTCAATGTAAGAAGATGTCCTGTTTCATCAATAATGAATTTAGTTTGTGCTTCTAATGGTAGAACTTATTATAATGAAGATTTTTTAAGATGTGAAAGAGAAATAAATCCATCATTGAAAATAATTAAGGAAGGGGTGTGCTAAACAAAAAATATTAAATTGTGTGTGTTTTTTAATGTATAAATTGATTGCTATTATAAAAATTAGAATTTTATTTGAATTTAAGTTCAGATCGGATCATTAAATCCAATATTGTTAAGCTCAATATTCAGTAAAATACACAAAATATAATAAAAAACTAATAAAATGTCATTTTCCTTTACTGGCAATACCGTAATTGCGCCCAAAAATAACAATAAATGTTATCAACAACTTAAAATATTTGACTTAAAATATATCAGCTCATATCTTACGGTAAACAGAGCTCAGGACAAATTTGCAACACCATCTTCAGAAAAAAACTTTTTTGACTCATTTATTTCGAGAACGATGAAATATTTCACGAAATACAGGAAAAGCTCGGAAGCAGAATGCAATGAGACTGTGCCGAAGACTCGTGCTTATATGAGCCCGAGTGAAGAGCTCAACTAAATTTAAACAACACAAAATTAAGTTATTTATTATAATTGTGATATTTTAACAAATAAAAATCCCAATAATAATGAAGTAATAATATTCATTTTATATTAGTTGTCAAACATTTAAGTATTCTTTATTAAATAAGATCTTTTAATTTTTAACAGGAACCTTCTTTTACTATTTTAAGTTTAAGATTAATTCGTTGTCTGCATTCAAGTGCCCATTGATTTCGATATGTAAGACCATCACTGCCACAAACAAAATTAACAATAGCTGGTGTTGCACACAATATTCTAGCCCAACTGATTGGTAATATTAAATAAAATAAAAATATTATAATTGAAATACAATTAATTTTCATTTCTTCTATATTATTTAATTTAATTGTAATAGAGAAGAAAAAAATCAGTCCGTTTAAATATAAAAATTAAATTTGATTAACTGATTTTATTTATATATAAAAATTTTTTGATTAAATGTTAATTTTTTTTTTTTTGTTTTAAAATAAGAACTTTAATCACAAAAAAAAATTTTGTTTTGATAAGGGCGACGATTTATGTACACACAATAATGAATAGAAACCGCAAGTTCAAAATAGAAAATCATAAAAAAAAAGATTATGAGGAGCATATAGAATTTAATTTACCATTCATGTGAGTAGTGCAGAATTTCATTCTATGTCATAATGTCAGAGTGTTGCTACATGAGACTTAGTTATTCTTGAAGAAACAAAGCTTTTATTAAGCTGCTAATAAATTTAAATAAAAGTTAAAGAAATTGCCAATTTATAGCTTTAGTAAACAATTAAATTTAAGATGTTGAGTACATCCCCATTTGAAAAGCCGGAACGGCTTTAGGAAAAACTTCAATTAAGAATTCAAAGTGCAATTACACGTTCGCAAAAGTACGGATAGTCGGAAGCTGGCGGAACTTTTCTCAATGAGAAAATTTTTTTAAACTGTCTATTTCGGCAGAAATGCGGAAATCTTAAACGTTGTTTGATTCAAAACTTATAAAATATTATTGCGAGGCATATCTTGAAAATTATAATTGTATATAGAACAATAGTTACTTGGAAGTCATACCTATATTTCGAAGAGAGTTTTAAACAAATAATATCACTGTTTTCATGCAAAACGTATAAAAGACATGACTATATTAAAATAGTTTCATTTTTCCAAATAGAACAATTTGATCACATCTTCATCATATCGAACTATTCAGGTGTTGAGTAGGTTGGACTATGGTTTTTTTTTATGATTTTTTAATAAAAATTCTTGACACACAAAAATAATTTTTTATTTGTTTTTGAAAAGCTTTGATTTGTATATAAGTACACATTATGGTTGTGCGAATAATTTCGACTTGAAAATTATGAATCATTTCCATAAGTGAATCATAATCATCTAATAGTTTATATTTTCTGCCAAAGCCAATTCAATTCAACATTAAAACAAACTATACATAACTATTTGAAAGTTGAATTTTCATTACATTTCCGGATATTTCACAATAGTGAGAAAAATATTAAAAAATATGAAATAAAGTATCATTTCAAAATCATTTTGTAGCTGCTTGTATAATTAAATTTATTTTTAATATTATTTTATTTGATTACAAAATACTACAATATGTAATTAAAATTTCAATTAAAATTATTAATTGTTTTATGAAAAAAAAAGAAAAAAAGCGTGAAGTGTAAATTTTATTGTAAGCATTTGGAAGGCAATGCTAGAACTGAAATATCTACTTAGTCAATGATTTTTACCCGGGTTATGATTTTTGTTCAATGACTTTTTTGTAATTGTAATTCATAAATAAAGTAAGAAAATCTTCAAGCGTCTTATGTAGTTTAAACTAAAAAAGGGAGTTTCTGAACTGTCAGAATGCGCATCGATTGAAGACGATAAACTTATTAGCAGAGAGGACAAATAATGGGGTAATTCGGCAGTTAGAATTTTTATCAATATAAACAATTTAAGACGTTGCTCTCTGTGGGGATGACCGATAAAACTACGGAAATTCAAATCGAGCTTTTTTATGTGGCTAACAGAAAGTAAAGTTCTACTGAGAAATTTAGATGTAGGTCCATTTAATCGATGAACCTAAAAATGGGAGCGAAGGCCTCAAGCCTTCGTTTATTAGTTCACAATAAAGAGAGTATTACAATAATAATATTGTTCTCCAAAATGTTTGGTGGGTTATTCTTGAAAGTTTTATTTGCAATTTTTTAATTATATTAAAAACCAGCTCTTTGTCTTTTAATATTAATTTAATTAATATTTAAAAAAATATTAAAATTATAAGTTCTCACTTAATGTAAAATTATAATTAAATTGTACTCCAGAACTTTCACATGTTTATTCAACCACAAGCTCTTATTATTGAAAAATCATGCAAATTCATTGCGAAAATCAAAATCATAGAATTAAAAATTTAAATAAAATTAATGTAATCGCATAATATTTTTGACACTTAATTAAGATTTAATATTTAATTAATGTGTTAAATTTAATATCCGTGTTCTCGATATTAATTTTTACTTAAGTAGTGCGTATACAACGCCATTAGAAAGAAGCAGTTTTTTAGTCGCTAGTAAAAGTGTTGAAGTGTCCACTGGGAAAGTGTTGCTATCATATGACCTTATTTATTGCCGCCTTCGACTGAAAGGTACCATAGTCAGTTTGCAGCCGAAAGGAGAGTTTACTTTTCCAGTTACTTAATTGCATAATTTAGGTCTCTTGATCCGACACAATTGTCGCTCACCAGACAACTAATATTAGCTTATGAAGAGAAGGCGTGTCTTGGAAGCTTATTTTTACGATGGCATGGGGGACTTTCCAGGGTGTCTCTTGTGCGGCTTTTGGGCTTCGCCAGGGAGGTTGGCTGGTTTGGATAGGGGGTCTTGTGGATTGGATTGCATGGGGGTTGTTGGGTGTTGGTTTTTTGGCTTTTTCCTGCTGGCCTAGTGCATGGGCTTTGCGCGGGTGTACGAGTGGAGCCCGCTTCTCTTACCGTCTTACTTATTTACTTAATATTAGCTTATTCGCGACGTTAATTTTATTGTCATGAATGTGGTATACAATTTATTATTGCTTTACAAAAATACAATGCATTGACCGCACAGAATTATTGAATATATTTAAATAAATTTATTAATTAGACTACACCACATTGAATTATTTTTAAAGTAACAATAATGTTTTTGAATCAACAACAATTAGTTATTGTTTCTATACGAAATTCGTTAGCAACCATTCAGTTTTCTCCAAATTCTAATTTCAAAAAGAATTAATTATTTTTTACTTTACTAACCTAGAATTTTATTATTAAGAATTAAGACTGTATTTAAAAAAAAAATTGCAAGAAAATTATTATTGTTAAAAATAACAGTGTTTTTTTTCTCACCGTCATCTTTTGTTTATGAAATACTTATACCTTATCACTTTTAACACTAGGTATTATTTATTACAGGTGCAAATTATTATGACAAAGTAAATTATACAATTACAATTTTATTATTTATTTATTCATTTAAAGGGGGCTTTCACAATAATTTGCCATTCAGTAGTAATTGATAATTACAATTTGAAAATTTATGCACAAACCCCCAATATGTATAAGTTTATACATGGGAATTTAAAATAAAATTATTATATAAATTTAGATTTTTAACTTAGATAATTTCAGTACAATTTTAATATTCTACTAGATCAGATATCTATTATCGGGCTAAACTTAAATTTAATAAATAAGTCAATTTCGGGCGGACCCATAGTCTATTATTTTAACACGATGAAAACTCTTTTATATTTATTCGCAATTTTAATTATAATCCCAAATTTATGTTCAAGCCAAGATTGTATTTGTACATTTGATTATAATCCAGTTTGTGGATCTAATGGTGTAACTTATTCAAATACATGTTTTTGGGGTTGTGCTAATTCAAAAGCTACTAGAGAAGGTACACCTTATATAGGGGTTATTAAAAAAGGGATATGTGGCAGTGTCAAAACATAATCGACAGCAAAACTATTTTGTTAGGCAACTGAACAACTGAATTTTGTTAAAAATTGAATTTTGAATTTTGTAATGAATTTTTTTAAAAATTAAATTTGAAAAATAATATAAAAAATTGTACAAGTAAAATGAGATTTAAAAATTTTTATTAAAAAAAAAATGTTTTTGTTTTTTTTTTCGTTTTTTGCATTTTCCCGATTTATAATGCGGTTTTTTTGTAATTTTTGTAATATTTATTGTGGTTATTTTATTTCTAATCTATAAAACTCAATGCTTTTTATAAAAATCATTGAAGGATTAAAGGATTATGTGTTTAATTTTGTACTTATATAAATTAAATTTGATGTTACTGGCCAAATACGAGCTTAGATTTCATTATTAAAATTCTTCGGAGTCAAATTTATTATTATAATTTACAAGAGCCGGGGGAAATCATAAGCCCAATACAAACTGAGATTACTGACTTTAAATTTTGATTTACTTCAAAAACTACTAAAATTAGTTAAAACAACAATAGCTGCAATAACTCAGTGAGAATTGAATGAGTGGCAACAAATAAAAATTTGCTAAGGAAAATATGTATACCGAAACCAATTATTGTTTGATAACCAAGCTAATTGTTGATAATCGTAAAGAAATCCAAAAACCTATTAATCGTTTCGTATTCAAATGTCAGTCTAAGAGTCTATCTTAGATTATTTTCAAATAGGTTTTCAAATACGTCTATAATTTAAATGCACTTTTGCGATTAATTTCTCATCAAACGAATATCTGCGACTTTGGAAAAATAGTGAATAATTCAGAGTGAATTTCTGTTTGGGATTCAGAAGGAGCCTTCAGAGATATCTGTACAGAGCCTATCTGAATCCATGGTAGTCGGATGCACTGTGTTGCGAACGATTGACGACGGATTAGTTGTTAATCTAACAATGGATTCCATGTAGCTCTAATTACAAAATAATATTGCACACACAATTTGCAACCTCCCCTCTCTACCACTCTCCACACCAATATTACTGTCCTATATCCACATAAGACTAATTACTTGAACATAAAATTTTTATATGAATAAAAGACTATAATATAAATTTATTTTAATATTATTTTTAAAACAAATTGTCCTTTCACGCTATTGTTGGAGTCTTAATGAACTTTTAACTGTACTAGATTATACTCGTATTATATAAAATTAGCATAACATTTAACTTATCAACATTTCCATCAATCATGAAAATTATTATTATTATCATTATTGTATTACTATTATTATTATTACTGTTATGTAAGTACTTGATTATTATCAATAAAATATAACACAATTGATGGTGGCGCGGCAGAGAATTAAATGAAATTGTAAAATTTATTTAATTTTTTTTTTTCCTTATTTTCTTTATTTGTTTATTTTGTTCATTTATTTTTATTATCCTTTTACTTTAATTGTAATTTTGTAACCATTACAAAACCATTATACATATGTTTCTATGAACGTTTTATTATCTCTCTCGTTATAATCTGCTTTTGTTTTTTTGGTGTTTCATTTTCTTTTATATGTACAACACATGTATATGTGCATGTATGTATATATAATGTACATGTAAATAAATGTAATGTACACAAATAAAAAGGACTAAAAATTAAAATTTCGTGGTTTTTTAAATACACAACAAAATTTTAATGTAGTTAAATGTAAGTATACATTTTGTATTTAAAAGTAAAAATGTTTGAAGTTGCAAACAACATGAAATGATAATATCAAGTAAAATGAACTGAAAAGAGGAACAAATAAAAAACAATTAATAGCTGAAACTTTAATATTACCAAAATCATTGACATAATGAAAAATTTTGAAACAATAGTTAGTTTCTAAATCAATGAGCCATTAATTGATAAAATTTAATTTATAAAATATATTGACAAAATTTTTATTATTAAACATACGATTGTTAGGATACAAAATTATTCAGCCTCCTAGATATATGCAATTTTTTTCGAATTTAACAATTTTTATGAAAAAATTAATATTTTTTATGAATAAATTAAAATCCGATGTCAAACAAGAAATATCTTCAGTTGTATTCAATTTAATGTTGCATTACGCAATTAAGATCTATACAACTACGGAAATGTATTTACGCGATCTTACCAGATATTAGCATATATTATGCTGACGATATTGCTGTATTTTCGAGAAATAAAAGGCACTTGTAAAGGTTTTAGTGAAAATTTACCGTAATCTACCTCTGAAGTTGGACTGTAAATAAATGAAAAAAAAAAACATAAACATATGGTTTCAAAATCTTACAATGATAAGCTGTTATACGATATTACAATGAAAGAGGCTGTGGTAGGGCAGGCGCCCACCAAGATGCGTAAAAAGGCGGCAATGAGAAGCACGGCTCATGTAAAACCTTTGTCTAAAAGGCCAAATAAATCTACAGCATGCTAGGGCATCTACTGATGTTCTAGCTCATAGATTTATGAGGATCACCTTGATATCGCCCTTATCCAGGAGCCTTAAATAGTGAAGGATCAGATTAAGGGCCTAACAGGTGAGCTATTGTATGATAATACAATTGGGGGCAAGCCTAGGGCTTGCATTTTGTTTAGTAAAAGGCTAACGTATTTTCCCATTCCAGGTTACTGATCTAAGGATCAGGTAGCTGCGTTGGTGAAGGTGAAGTTTTCCGGGGGTTGGACAGAATTTATTGTGTCATCCTACCTCCCGGGAGACTGTGCCCACCAAGACGAGCAACTGAAAGATCTAGTGGACTTTTGTGGAAGGAGGAACTTCTAAATGATAATAGGAAGTGATGCCAATGCCCACCACACCGTCTGGGGAAGCAGTAATATAAACGAAAGAGATGAGTGCCTACTTGAATTTATATATTATAGCAATAAATTAATGGTTATGAATGAGGGCAATAGGCCGACATTCATAAATGCAATTAGGGAAGAAGTCCTTGACATCACCCTTTGCACTGAGTTTATCGGCAGTAGGGTTAGTGGATGGCATGTCTCAAATGAGACATCCATGTCCGATCATAGGCAGATTAGGTTTGATATCATGGTCTCCGGAGGCCTGGCAGAAGAACTGTAAGGGGTACTCCTATCCACAGATTGGAGTCAATTCGAAACACTCCTCATTGATGGGATTGGATCCATTTCTGCTTCTGTCGGAACGGTGATGGATCGATATCCTAGCCAGCGAGACTATTACTAGTGCCTACCATGGGAGCTGCCGCGCTAAGCCGAGGCGGAGCAATAGAAAGTGCCCGTGTTGGAATGAAGAGCTTTCAAGGCTTAGACTGAAGACCAGAAAGCTATTCAATAAGGCCAAGGGGTCGGGTTCGTGAGAAGAATATAAAAACTCACTCACGAAATACAATAAAGAAATTAGGAAAGCGAAGAGAATTTCGTGGAGGGCTTTCTGCAAGGGCATTGATGAACTCTCCAGCAGTGCGCGTCTTCACAGGGGGCTTTCCAAAAAGTATGCTAGCGGGTTGGGCCTAATAGAACGGCCTGATGGCTCCATGACTGAGAACGGAAAGCAGACGTTGGAGGTTATGGCGTCAACGCACTTTCCTGAATCGGAGATTCTTCAGAATCACTCAAATTCAGTCATTGAACCGAGGGCATCCTGGCCCAGGAGGGATGACTGGCAACAATCCCGCCTGGTCTTCACGATGAGCAGGATTAGATGGGCTGTTTTCTCTTTCAGGCCCTTCAAATCTCCAGGTGATGACAGGATATATTCTGCATTTTTGCAGAGGGGTTTCCAACATATCGCCAGAGCACTGTTGCAAATTTTTCGTGCTAGCTATGCGTGAGGGTACATCCCTCAGGCATGGAGGGTGGCTAAAGTGACGTATATTCCGAAGGCGGGTAAGCCACCAATGGAAAAAGTGATTGAGAGATTTATACGGAAATCAATCCCTATCATGAATCTCAGTACGCCTATCAGTCGGGAAGGTCTACTGTACTCGCTCTGCAGAGTCTGGTGGGGTCCTTAAAAACTCGCTGGAAGTGCGGGAGGTGGCAGTTTGCTGCTTCCTTGATAAAGAGGGAGCTTTTGACAACACCATGTATGTAGATAACATATCATGTCATCTGTAAGTCGTTGCAAAAACGAGAGATTGATGCGACGACGAGCATATGGGTTAAACGGATGCTACAGGATAGGATTATTAAGTCCACCATAGCCGACGGTACATTCTTCATCTCCGCTGCAAAAGGGTGTCCGAAGGGCGGGGTTCTTCCGCCCCTCCTGTGATCCATTGTAGTGGATGATCTAATCGCTGCTCTCAGGGACTCCGGGGCACGTGTCTGGGGATACGCCGACGATGTGGTCTTCGTCGCACGGGGAAAATTTGAGAGCACTATTTCTGATCTTCTACAGTTAAATTTATGTGTTGTGGAGAGGTGGTGCGGAGCGTTGGGTTAAATATAAATCCAAGCAAGAGCACTTTGGTCGCCTTCACCAGACGCAGAAGCAGGGATAGATTAACGAGCCCAATTCTGTTTGGTGAACGTATTAGTTACTCTAGGGAGATGAAGTATCTGGGAATGATCGCTGGATGATCGTCTCTCCTGGAATACCCATATAGGTAGAGTTATCGAGAGGGCTACGGCGGCCTTGTGGACGTGTAGAAGCTTCATCGGGGGGACCTGGGGAATCAGTCCCAGGATAGCACTGTGTACGCGTCGATTGTATGGTTCCGTAAGACTTAACAGGCGGGTGTGCGTTCCAAGCTGGAAAAGCTACAGAGGCTGGCCTGCCTAAGAGCGTATGGTATGCCGATTGTTCCAAAACGGAGTCGGGTGTGGGTTCGGGTGTATGCGCTGTCCGAGATGGATGGAGCATTTAACGCGTATAGATATAAATAGGGCGCCGGTTAAATTTATAATGCTAATCCATTTGACTATATATATACACTAAAAATATGC